TTACATGACTCTTACATCAAGGACCAAAAAAAAAAAAAGGTAAGTTTTACAACTAAAATGAAATAAGACAAATTTTGTAGGATAGCACTGTCTTGTCCTTCCTTCCTGCATAGCCCCCCGCCCCGTGTAATCCCATCAATGGCCAAGACACAGAGAAAACCAAGTTCCCAAAAGCACGCGGCCACATTTGCAGCAGAGCAACCTCTTACTGTCTAGTTCTCACTCTGAGAACCCGCAGGCTACTGAGAGTATTCTGCCCAACACGGCAGAGTCTGGCAAACTCCCCGTGGCGTATTTGATATGCCAAAACCCATAACAATGATGGGTCTCATTCCCCTGACCCTGAAAGAGCCTCCAATGTGGCGCTTGCTAAAATCTCAGGGCTAGGACGACCGGTGATGTTACTGGTGCCTGCTCGAGGAAACCGATGAAAAACAGGATGACAGTGATACAGTGATGATGTTGATAGAGTTATTGGACTGAGGAAAGGAGAAAAAAACACCTTCGGAGGTATTTTGCCCTTGCGCAGTCAGCTTTGGAATACCCCTAGGTGATGTTTCCGCCCTTGAGCCTGGCAGACAGGAAGGGCTTTCTTATGTTGCTTTTGCTACCTGACTGGGTGCAGTGTCGGCCCAGAGTGCTGGGGAGTTGGAGAGACAGGCGAGTGGGAGAGAGGCAGAATCCAGAGAGCTGGGATGGAGGAATGAGGGACAAGGAAGGCAGAGTGTGAGTGGGGGAGAGACCAGAGAGTTGGAGAGGAGAGAGAGAGCAGGGCAGCATGATGGAGTGCCCAGAGACTAGCAAGGGGGACAGAAAGAGCCCAGGCTGTGAGATGGAGCGTGGAGAGATGAGCGGGAGAGACAGGAGGAGACGGGAATGAGGAGCAGCGTTGAGACTAGAATGGGAGGCTCAGAGAGACTGTGGCAGGCACGTGGGGAGAACGGACTAAACGGCTTCTGATCAATCAACCGGTTTGGCCCCCATTTCATCCAACGCCTGCCTCATGACCCGGACCGCCCTGGCTTGGAGAGGAGACCACGGTCCCTCCAAACGTGGGCAGCTAGGGGAAGAGCCGTCGGGGCCTCCCCCTGGCTGCCCCCAGAGTTTATACAAAAATTCTTAAAAGACATAAAGCAGCAAAGGTCACCTAAGCAGATAAGCTGAAAGATTGTCTCTTCTAAAAACCAAAGTTGCTAAGTTCAGAATGAATTCCACCGAACATAAGGATAAAATAACAAATCTACATAAACTCTTCCAGGGAACCAAAGAGGAATGTGAAATAAGCCAGACACAAAGAGACAAATACTGTAAGGCATCGAGCGTAGGCAAACGTGTTTCTTCCCCTTATTAGTGAAGCAAGGTAGTTTTATCGAACGGAACTAGCTTAGAAGGTGTGAGAGGAGAGGAAATGTGCTCAAGAGGGAACACAGGTGTCTCCGGAGTGTCAGAAATAAGCAGAGAGACACAGAGACAAGCAAGCGACATTCTTGCTCAAGGGAGACCCCGGACTTGAAGAGCGCGCCGAGAACAGGCAAACTTGAAGACAGATGAGAGTCCCAGGAGCTGTCATCTGGGTGACATATGTGTGTGGGACGATGAAGCAGTTATGTGAATAAACAGTGGTGAGTTACAGCAACCATAAATGTACTTAACGCCACTCAATTATATACTTAAAAATGCTGCAGGAGGGCTGGAGAGAGAGTACAGTGGGGAAGGCCCTTGCCTTGATGAGACTGACGTGGGGTCATCCCCGGGATCCTATATGGTGCCACAAGCCCTCCAGGACCGGCCCCTGAGTGCAGAGCTAGGAGGAAGCCCTGAGCACAGCCTTATGCGGCTCTCGAACAAACAAAAAACCCCCCAAAGCCTCAAAAGATCAATTTTGTTACAAACGTTACATGAAAATTTTGCAAAGATCTTGCTGCTGCCCGCAGCTCTCCCATTTCTGACTCACTCCCTTGGCTTCACGCTCAATATAAGATCCAGGCTACGCTTCAATCAGACCGTACTTGACTGTTTCTCAAAGCTTAGAATTTTACACTTAAAGGTGAATTTGAAGTGACTCATGCCTTGATATTTATTTTAATTTTTACCATTTTAGTCTTTTTTGATTTGGGGCCACCCCAGTGATGTTTAGGGGCTGCTCCTGGCTCTGCACTCCGGATTTATGCTGGTGATGCGCAGGGAACCATATGGAACGCCAGGAACTGAAGCCAGGTTGGCTGTGTGCAAGGTAGGCGCCCTCTCCGCCGTGCTCCTCTCCAGCCCTGGGCCTCAACTTCAAACCAATCAACTCACCTTTGCTACACTGGAAGAGTAACAACCCATGAATCACATCAGGTTACTTAACACCCGAAAAGCAGCCAGTGGTCACCCAGGTGAGGAGGAGGCCCCCTAGACATTCCTCCCTGGGCCCTGGCTGTCCCCCCACGGACTACCTGGCTCCTTCTAGAGCCTTCCAGGCATCCTCCTGCCCTCAGCCCTGTCTGGGGACTTATTTCCTTAAGGTCTTCTAGAGACGGACTCTCTGGTCTTTGCACCATTACTCAAATGTCCAAAGCCAGAAATCCAGCTGACGCAGCACCATCTAACACTATCAGACTTTTAAACTTCACCTGTATTTTGGAAGGTCAAGATTATGACACAGACTTTGGGGGGGCCTCCACCCAGTAATTTTCAATCTGACAGAGGGCCAAGCAGTGCCAGGGCTCTTCCCTGGGCACATTCTCGCCCACTTAAGGCATCTCCCTGCTCTGAGGGCAAGAATGGAGGGTGGGATGACGGGCCAGTTCTGTCAACCGCTTCCTATGCAGCCTAAGACCCACCAATACTCACTCGGGAGTGAATGAATGGATGAGCACCGGCTTTCCGGCTGCTGTTTGACAAGAACTGACTGCTTAACCGAGCAACAATCCCGCCTGGTCGCTGCCCTGCGCTGGTCACTCTGGTGTCCACTCCCCGCGTCACTCTACCCTGCTTCCTGCCCCCACGCACCCTGCCAGGTCTCCACCATGCTGACCCTTCAACTTTTTAACTTTCCTCCAATGTTCGGTCCTTCTGCATGTCTGGGCTTCCACACGTCTTCCAGAACACTCTCCTCCCCTCTCCGCTGGTGGGTCTGCGTCACTGTCCCCTGCCAGCTCAACACCTCTGCCTCCCAACCTCCGCGGCCCGCCCAGACCCAACCGATACTCTTAGACTCTTCTCCAGACTCCACTACACTGCCACAAAATGCTGCCGGCAGTGAGACTTCCTGGCCATTTTCTTGCTAAAATGTCACGAAAGCCGATAGTCTATGTCCTATCCACGACTACTCCAAAAACTCAGGCAGATGCCACATGGAACCCACTGAATCAGGTGATTAAGCCTTGGACAGGAATCGGAATCAAATCCGAAAACCAGTCATTGTGTCAAGACTGCAGGGTGGGGGAACAAGTGGCTCAGAAAACACCAATTTCTCTCAACGGCACTATTGAACCAGAGTTTATCTGCTACCGTTACAAAGTAACTATATTCCGTGACTCCTGTGGGACACTAAAAGAACCAACCACACTAGAGTCCCAAATCTGCAGGGAAGGAACAGGAAGTTCTTCAAGATTGCCTATGAACTTTGAAATCCGTTTTTCCTAAGTCAGAAAAAAAGGGCAAAGTTCGGAACTGCTCCATCCACAGCGATGGCCCTGAGGCCCAGCTCAGAAGGAACGCCCGGAGGAGCCAAAGCCTGGTGCAGATGCGGAAAGACACCCAAACCCGGGCCACAGGGCTGAGCAGCGCCACCAGCATTCCCGCTGGAGGTACGACTTCCTGTCGAAGGGGACATTCTCCCTCTTGGGAGCTTTGCTTTGTCATCCGGGAAGCCGGTGACAACACCCAGCTCTAGAACTGCACAGTTCTCCCCCCAAAGTTTGCAACAACCACACATGCCATCTTGGTCGCCAGAGCATACCACAGCCTCAAGGTCACTGCAAGATAGCAGCGTGGGGAGCTTGTTTTCTGGCCCTTCGTGTGGCCCTGAGATAACAAAGACATTCCTGGAACTGAAACAACTGATAAACAGGACCGTGCAGGGAGGGAGAAAGGCCAGGCCAGGAGAGAGCAAAGACAACAGCGGGCAGAGCCACTCTGGGCATAAGGCCCAGCAGAGGTGTGGGGGGTTGGGTGGGGGGTGGGCGGGCGCAGCGGTGATTCAAGGCACCTGCCTGAGCTCGCTCCACCATGGCAGCGTCTCACCGTCTCCACAGTCCAGGGAGCAAATGTGTCTCCAATCCCCCTGGGCCACAGAGATCACAGACAGAAAAGACATGGAGCCACAGGGCCCAGGGCCAGCCCAGGGCTTGGCTTCACAGAGGAGGTAGCACCTCAAATTCTAGACACCCATGAAAGGGGCGGGGCAATGGGACAGCAGGGAGGACACTTGCCTTGCTCATGGCTGACCCAGGTTCAATTGCTGGCGTCCCATATGGTCCCCTGAGCCTCACCGGGAGTCACCCCTGAGCACTGCCAGATGTGGTGTCCCCCCCAACAAAAGAGAGAAAACAACAAACATCAACACTGATGAAAAGGAAGGTCTGGTAGAAGTGATGCAGCCCTCAACCAGAACACAGCGGCCTATTCCAAGAAGACATGGAGGCGAACAAGAGCCAAGGGAAGACACACCGGGAGGGGCTGTCACTTTCAAGGCCACCACTGAGTCCTCGGGAGCGACAGTCTGCAGCAGCGCAACAAGCATCCACGCTGGGACTGCCAGGAGGACTCTGCAACACCGAGGACAAGCCCACACGAGGCTGCGGCCGGATGGGTGCCCTCTGGCATGGCACATGGCAAAGGGAGCAGGCAGCACGCTTTACCAGGTGCTGGCCATGATAGGCTGCAGACGGCAAGCCCCCGAACTCAACAGTACTCCCCAAGTAAGCCGCCAGCTCCTTTGCCACCCACCCAACCCGCGAGCACAGCAAGCCTGCCCCCTGCAGGCGGCCCCGTGCTACTGCAGGCCGACTTACCCCACGGCGGACGGAGGCGGAGTGCTGCTCAACTCCTGCACGTTCACGACCTGAGGAACATTCTTCAGGGTTGATTCCGTCAAGGTACTCACAGCTATGTGAATAAATGAGGGCGAGGTCTATTAATCGCACTGAAGTACATCAAAGGGTAAGAAGCCCGAGTCACATGTCAATGGACACACAGGGCAAGGCGAAAGGAAACCTAGTCAAGCACTGGGCCGGCTCTAGGAAAGAAGTGATGGGCTGGGGCTCTGTGCGACTTCACCAAAGGGGCCCAACCATTCCAGGCCGGCTCTTTTTTGAGGGGTGGGGCCGGCATGGTGGCCTCTGTCCGGCTCTCACTCAGGACCACCCCTACTGCGGCTCAGGACTGAACCCAGATTGGCCCCACCAAGGCAAGTGCCCCGTGCCTGGACTACCCTCTCAGACCCCTCCTGGCCAGTGAACGCCCTTTTGGGAAAGGCATGAAGTGCTAGAATTAGCAACGTTCACTCAGTACTCAATGTCCGCCTCCCTCCTCCCATCCATCCAGATGGCCTGTTACTATCAGACTTGATTAGCGGCTGGGAATGCAAAAGTCTCTAAAACAGTCTCTTCTGCAATGGAGATCACCCCAGAGTGAGATAACATACAGGGAAAAATGTGGGCAAGGCAGTTTGGACAAGGATGGGACACATGGCCAAGAGGCCTGAATTAAGGAACAGTAGCAGGGATTGGTCTGCCTACAGGACCTACCTGCCTATCTATAGTTTATCAGTTTTCACTTCATTTTTTTTCTTTTTGGGTCACACCCAGCGATGCTCAGGGGTTACTCCCGTCTCTGCATGCAGGAATTACTCCTGGTGGTGCTCAGGGGACCATAAGGGATGCAGAGGATCGAACCTGGATCAGCTGCGTGCAAGGCAAACGCCCTACCTGCTTACTATCGCTCCAATCCCAGCTTTCATTTTGTGTATCTTACAACTTTATGGATTCTAGTGGAGCCAGGCATCAGACCTCAAACCCTTGACCAGACATCCCCAGCCCCAGAAACCGTTTATTGCTATATAATGGTGAATTCTATCTCACACTGGACCTCTTTTCCAGTTTCTCCTCCAAAGACCTGGGCCAGGCCGGGAGTGCACATGCACCGACTGTGCGAAACCCAGAATTCAATCTGGGCACTAGTGGTGCTAGGCACGCCGGTATCAGCCTAGAAAGTGCACTTTCTATAAAGTAACAGCTGTCTGAGCAGATAGACACTCTGAGTAATGCCAAAACGGAAAAATAATTTTATTCCAGAAAAACAAAAATAATCTCCAGCTTGGTCCTGGAATGTTAATATTTCAGGAGGGCCAGTCCTCGTGGAGGTGGAGCCCCGCGCATTTCAAGGCTCGTTTTGAGCCACTCGCTGCCAATACTACCACGGCCGAGACGCTCCGGCTGAGAAACAAGTTCCTGACACTGAGCACCAAGGAATGGACCACGACTGGACCACTCCCGACTGCAGAGTACGCTTGTGCCAGGGTAGAGTCTGGCTCAGCTCCCTGTGGGCCCGGGAACCTGCAGCTGCCTTTCCTTTTCCTTTCTTTACAAATGGGAAGACCCCAGCAATGCCCAGGGGCTGACAAGGCCACCGGAAGTGATATGAGGTCACCCCAAAGGCAAGCACACAGAAGCACAGCTCTGGCGAGAGCTGGGATCCTTAAGACACTAGGAGATGGTGCAGCAGATACTACAGCAGGTGGGACGCTTATACTGCATGCAGCGGACCCAAGCTCCATCATGATTATCCCTGAGCACGAGCCAGGAGTACGCCCTGAGCACTGCTCAGTGTTGACCCAGAACAAACAAAACCCCAAAAAGATGCTAAATGACAAAATAAACCTAGACAGGCCCAGAGGAGAGGCCCCCCGCCCAAGGCTGGCGTGCCTGCCAGGGACAGAGGCCCTACTCAATTTTCAGTATCACCTGGCCCCTAAATGGACCCAAGGAGTACTGGGCTGCGTACCGCAAGAATGACCCAGGCCCCCTGCGTACTCTTGGGACAAGGCCTCTCAAAATAAACAAAAAGATCCCACAGGACAACTGTGGGATGGGGAGGGCAGGCGTGAAGGACCTATACTCAGGCTTCCTTGCGGGGTGGGCCCAGGGATCACTCCAGGTGCGGTTCTGGGAGCCATGTGGTGCCAGGGATTCAATCTGGGTTTGCACCCAGCTTGGAGACAAGTAAAATGCTACTAACTGGACCAAGGGCAATGGCTACTTTTAGACTTAAAACAGGCATTATTCAAATTACAAAAAGAAGGAGAAGCAGCAGCCCACTGGTCGGGGCCAGGGCACGGAAGGCTGGAGCCCTGCTTTGCACCAGCGGCCTCAGCTCCCCCGCCAGCACCATCTGGCCCCTGAGCACTGCTGAGGGCAACCACCAAACACGGAGCCAGGAGTAGTGCAGCCCAAAGCAAAAGTCAAACCAGACCCCACTTGCTCTCTCCCAAGCGAACGGTACCCGTCTCCCCCGCCTCTCCTACAAGGAAGCGTCACAGCTACTCTTCCTTCTGGATCGCTCCAGGAAACAGGACGGGCCATCACAGGAAGTCTGGTCTGGGATTTAGCTGCATCTTTTACTGGGGGCGCTGCCGCGGGGAGGAACCCTGGGCCTCACACCCGACTCCCGAGAGCAGCAGCACGGCCCACTGTTCCCTGGCACAGGGCTGCATGTGGTGCTCACCTGGAGCCTGACTGGCCAGCTGCCGTCTCAGCGCTGCCGCTCCGGCGGCCTGGGAGGCCGGGCTGGCCTGCGAAGGCCCGGGAGCGCCATGCTTCACGGTCCTTGTGGGGAGCATGGTGCTATCGGCCCCTTGGGGCATGACTTTGCTGGATGCCGTTCCTGTGGGGAAAAGAACCACGAAGGAAGAGCGGGTGAGAAGAGAAGGTGGAAAAGTTGAAACCGTCAGCGCTCTGTGCCAGGGTGCAGGGAAGCTGCCCCAGTCAAAATCCTGCAGGATTCTCTACACGCAGTGCACGCACAGCCCTAAGTTGCCACCCGCTTCTCCGAGAGCCAATGCCGACTGTCTGCCTTGTCGGCCCCGCCGAGTCAGACCCCTTTCCAGGCTCTCAGCCACGAGCCGCCCACAGAGCACACAGGGTTTCCTGCCCCCGAAGCTTCCCATCAGCGCCGTAACCACTGGGCCAGAGCACATGTTCAGCAGGTGTGAGGCTCCGCATTCTGCCCCGGGCACCAGGTGGCACCACACTTGGCCCCACTGCCAGGGGCAGCTCCAGTTCTTAGAAAACATCATTTCAAAATGTGCCAAGTCTGGCTGCTCTGAACCGAAGCTGCCAGACAGGAAGAGACCCGTCGGGGAGCTGACAGCCAGCACCGGTGGTGGTGGTGGGGGGGGGCACGAGTTCTCAGGCGAGTTCTCAGGCAGGATATGGACTGGCCACGCTGCTGCAGACAGAGGCTCACAGCCAGGAAAGCAGAAAGCAGGGACGAGGAGGACCTGGCCATCCATTCTGGTGCGTGAGGCCCGACAAGCACTTTCGTGGGGACACACCTCCTCCACACCAGCCTTCTGGGAGCATCAGCAGAAACAGAACAGGCTGGAACTGAGCACGTGCACAGCGCTATGTCAGACCCTCAAGGCCCTGCACCGGTTAGTCAGTGGCCTAATGGGGAACACGTTTCCACACACTTACCTAAATTGGGCATCACCATAGCTTGGTTGTTAACTGAATGAGACTTGGGGACGTTGGAGCCAAAGACCATCACGCTGGGCTGGATGGAAGACGTGCGGGTCACGGGCGCGTGCCGTGATGACAAGGTCGCGGCCGCATCTTCGCTGTCCAGGGGCTGGGTGATGGAGGAGGTGGAGCTGTACTCATCCACGTCATCACAGCATCTCTGAGACAAGAAGGCCGACCGAGACAGGCTGGCTGCAAAAGCCCAAAGCGACCAGCAGTTAGACACCTCGGGGCAGGCCCAACCGTCATTGCGCGCTCACGGCTGAGAGACGGACGCTGACCTGTACAACTGTTTTGTTACTTGGCCAGCAGAAGCAGCTACCATTAAATCTGAGCAAAGATGCCCACACCATTCTCTGCTCGACCTGGACTTTTAAAACGCTATGCCAGGAGAGAGCAAGGGTCTTCGGACTGTCAAGTGGAAAGAGTGCAGTGAGAGCCAGGGTGACGGCCAGTGCTTTAGGGCAGAGCATGGACCTCCCCAGACAGAAGCTGCCAGAGGCAGAACAGCAGTGTCAGCAAAGGAACAGACAGGTCTCCTCTGTGGTACCAAACTGGGAACGATGCAAGAAAGGCAAGATGCCTGCTACCCCGAGTGTGTCCGCTTTCAGAGAAATCCTATGATCTTTTGAATGAATCGGGAGAGAGAGAAGGGAGGGAGAGGGAGAGGGGGAGAGACGGGGTTGGGGGGGAGGGGAGGGAAAGGAGCCAGGGAGGGAAGGGGTCACTGACCGATGCTGACCTCCTTGGATTTCCCTTCCTCTCTTTGCCCTGGGTTGGAGCAATAGCACAGCGGGCAGGGCGTTTGCCTTGCACGTGGCTGACCCGGGTTCAATTCCTTCATCCCTCTCGAGAGCCTGGCAAGCTACCGAGAGTATCTGGCCCGCATGGCAGAGCCTGTCAAGCTCCCCATGGCACAATCAATATTCCAAAAACAGTAACAACTCTCACAATGGAGATGTTACTGGTGCACGCTCAAGCAAATCGATGAACAACGGGATGACAGTGCTACAGTGCTCCTTTGCCCTGATGGGCAGCTCCACCATGAACTTCAGAATCCAGGTTCTAGGGCATAGAATGGAACAAGCTGACCCCTGAGGCCATCTCTTGCCCTTCCTCAAGTCATGCAAAAGCACCGCTGGTATTTACTGAACCTGACTGTCCTGTAAGAACATCACTGCAGACTCTGTGACATAATTTGCTCTGAACTATCTGAATGTACTAAACCATTAGTGTTTTTCTTTTATTTTTTTAAAAAAGCTTTTGGGTCACAACCGTGATGCTTAGGGGTTACTCCTGGCTCAGGCTATATGGGATGCCGGGACCCAGCCTGTGTTGGCCGCATACGAGACAAGTGCCCTACCCACTGTACTTTCTCTTCAGTCCATACAGCAGTGTCTTTTCATCTGGGGGGACACCAAAGATATTTCAACAAGACCAAGGGTGAGAATTTTATCAATGGGAGGTACAGAAAGGAACACGGTCAGTGGTGGCTGCGGCAGAACAGGGAATTACTACACATAAATAGGAAGATCATGTGGGGAATGAAATCTTCTCAAACTGCAATTTGGTGAGGAATATCACATAACTCAGAAAACCTAACCCAAAAAAATCAAACTGCACCCTTCAGATAATTGAAATTTCTAATATATAAATTGTATGTCAATAAAAACTGTCATTAAAAATCAATTTCAGGTTGAGAGCTAAAAACAACAAAAGAGGTATGCATTCTCTATACCTACAAATAATCATTTCTAAAACAGAAAGTAGTGACTAATGAAGGAAGTCTATTGTAAAATTAAAAACTAATTTTCTATAAATGAAAGAGAGTACCCGATAAACCAAGAAAGGCCTACTCAGATTTACAAAATTTTGCAAATCATTGGGGCCGGAGCGACAGCACAGCAAGGTAGGGCGTTTTGCCTAGCATGCGGACGACCCGGGTTCGATTTCACTGCCCCTCTCGGAGAGTCTGGCAAGCTACCGAGAGTATCCTGCCCGCACAGCAGAGCCTAGCAAATTACCCGTGATGTATTCGATATGCCAAAAACAGTAACAACAAGCCTCACAATGGAGATGTTACTGGTGCCGCTCGAGCAAATCGATGAACAATGGGAGGACAGTGGTACAGTGCAAATCACTAAGGTTGATAATCCAATAGATAACTGATCAAAAGATTTAACCTAGTACTTCAAAAAGATACCAAGAAGTTGGTAAACATGCAAAAGTTTATCTCCAAATAGCTCAAAGGAAAACACTGGGAAATACCAAGTTCGGCAAGAATGTGTGAACGGCTGAACTTTTCACAGGTGATGGTAAAACCGGAAGAGGTCCAGCCACTCTGGGGGACTGCTGAAGCCATGCCTCCAGGTGAGAATGATGGACAAGGCCGCCCAGTCATGGGGCCAAACCCGAGGTTATCACAAGAGCTTTGTATATAAAGACGCAGGAAACGGTCTATTTGAATACAGCTAGAAACTGGAACCAGCAAGTTTCCACAGAGGGGAGACGGGAGAATAAACGTTTACCCAGAAGCACAGGCATTCATTCAGCGGGATGCCGTGTGGCTGTGTTCTGGAAGTATGGGTGTTCGGTGGGAATCTCTGTGGCCGTGTTCTTCAATCACGCACCTGCAGACCAGTGCCAGTCCACACAGACCACGGGGCTGCCAAGTTGGTCATAAATGCCCCCCGGTCCGTGGACCGTCTGTAGGTACAACAAGGCCAAGAGCACTGCTCAACGCAGCTGAACAGGCCAACTAAACACAAAAGCTGTCGCAGAGTCAGACACCCCCAGAAAGAAGGTGGACAGGCGCACAACACAGAAGTGGCCCGGACGATTTTCGGCCACTCTTCTGACAGCGTCTGGAGGGGTGTGCTCACGTCAGACCAGGAAGAAAAGCAAAGGGAACGGAGACAGGAGAGAACGGAACAAATACACAATCCTGGATTAAAGCCCACCTCAACAGAGTGGCTACGCAGAGCCCCCGGGAGAAGGCCAGCTCCCAGCAGGGACCGCGGGAAAACAGCAGTTCTTGGTCAAGGAGGAAAGGCCTAAATCTCAGTCTGGGCGTTGGGGCTTGTAGGAGAATGTCCTCGACCTGAAAGGACACATACTGAAAGACTTAGAGTGACAAGTTTATAGCCTGCAGTTTGATTTTCAAATACCTCGTCAAAAATAATATGTGTGAGAAAAGAACAAAAAAACAGCCGTGTCCAGCATTCCTGCGAATGAGGGCAGGGCAGGAGGCGTTCCTATACTAGGCCTGCCACTGTGATTTTCAAAACAATAATGATGTCAAAAGGCCCAGACGAATGGAAAGGAGACCATTAACCTCTGTCCAGAGAGCCCTACCAATTGGGAGCAGGTAAACTGAGGCTGCACACAGGCCAGGGAAATGGCGCGACAAACCCTCATACTCTATTTTCCTTATTCATTCGTCTGTCAATGGACACCGGGCTAGCTTCTACCTTGAGTTTACTATGGATACCACAGCTACAAACATGTATGTACAAATATCTATGCGTGCCTCAATTTTCAGTTTAATCCAGACTGGCCAGACAGCAACTGTTTTCCAGTTTATGTTGAACCAACCAAGCACTCCGCAGAGGCTACGTCATTTTGCATTCCTTCCAACTCATGCTGTGAACCTCCAGAGATATTGGCTTTTTCTATTTGTTATTCTTAATTAAAATAACAAATCAGAGTGAACTGTGAATGTCACAGTTCCACTCTCATTTTCCAAACATCCAATTTTTATAAAGAAAGAGAAAATTTGGGTGTAAACCAAAAAATGTCAAGTGCTACCATATCTGGGTTGAAGGACAAGTAAGTTCAGAATCCTTCGTACTTCTGCATATTTTTAAGCTACCGAGAGTATTCGATATGTCAGACACAGTAACAACAAAGTCTCCAATGGAGACGTTACTGGGCCCGCTCGAGCAAATCGACGATCAACGGGAGGGCCTTTACCTTTACCTTAATAACCATGAGAATTTATTACATAGGAACAGAGCAATAGTACAGCAGGTATGGTGCTTGCCTTACATGCGGCTGACATGGGTTCAATCTCTGGTATCCTCCTCTATAGTCCCCCAAGCCCAGCCAGGAGTGATCCCGGAGTTCAGAGCCAGAAGCCCTAAGCACTGCCAAATGTGCACCCCCCCCAAAATTTTTCATTAGATAAGGAAAAACATTTAAAAATTAATTTAAACTATACTCATCATTAACATTTTTGATAAATTATTTTCCATGATTACAGGAAACTAGTAAATGGTGGCATAGTAAGAGTAAACTGTCTTCCCCTACTTAAGTGCCAAAAGAATACTGATGTTTTATTGTTACTTATTATTATTACTAATAAGGTAAAGGCCCTCCCGTTGATCGTCGATTTGCTCGAGCGGGATAAACTCAAAATAGAACTTCAAGGGAAAAAAAGATATGATCTCCAAAGCAAGTATTTCAAAAAAGAAAATTCAGGTAATCATCAAGATAATTTAATGGCGAAAAGTAAGTTTTCTCCATCAATTACATGCCTTCTTTTTTTTTATGCCTTCTTTTTTTATTTTTTTAAATTTCGTATCTTTTTCTTTTTTGCTTTTTGGGTCACACCTAGCGATGCACAGGGGTTACTCCTGGCTCATTCACTCAGGAATTACTTCTTGGCAGTGCTTGGGGGACCATGTGGGCTGCTGGGAATTGAACCTGGGGTGGCTGCATGCAAAGCAAACGCCCGACCCCGCTGTGCTATCGCTCCAGCCCCACAGGCCTTCCTTTCTGCAGTGTTCTTAGCCACCACTGCCTTTTCAGGAGTTCTCATATGCAGTGTGAAGCCAACGCCCCATCCAGCCGGGACAAGGAAGCTTCTCGAGCTGGGCTGGCTCGGCCATGGAAGCACACCCTGCCCTATGGACTGGCACTGCAGAAGACAGCGGGCAGCCAAAGCAACTGGTGGGTGCTGACACAAAACTGAGGACCAGTCTTTACCTGGGGCTGTGGATCTCACGGGCGGGGTCTTCCTCTTGGCCAAGAAGTTTCTCAGTTGAGCCTGTTTCACCGGGGACAGTTTAGCTGCAAGAAATAAGCACGTCCATAAACGCTTGGGGCTGGGTTTCTATCATTAGATGAAAGAGAATAAAGAGAGTTTTAAATACTGGGAAGCAGACATGTACCTGGAACTCTGGGCAAAGGTTTGGAATGAGATTCTATGGTGGTTTTCAACAAAGCATTCCGGAGGCTTTCAAGGTCACTGTCAAAACTGAAACAAGATAGTGTTACACACAAACCAACTTTGACCTGAGACGCCTGAGCAGGTGAGGTGCTCACACTGTCCTCCAAACACTCACGCAGGGGAGGAGAGCATCCCCAACACAGAAACGGGAAACCGGAGACGTCAGTGTCATCAATCCACAGGAAAGAGAGAGCACCTCAATACCATCCACCACCCCACAAACACCTGACACTGCCGAAGAAAGGGCACACAAGTCTACGGGCCAGCCTCGCAGAGAAAGGCGACGCTGCCCTGGTGACTGCAGAGGCGACTGAGCTAACCTGGAGCCTGGAAGTTTCCACACTTGAGCAAAACCAATCTGGGCCTTGAGAGAAGTCAACCTAATCCTCCCAGGTACATTTCACTAACCCCGCAGCACCGGCACACCAGGCTGCCGGCGTCACGGAGCACCCTGCAGCCGACCCCCCAGGAAGGGGGCGCAGATGCTTAGAGGAGTCACTCAAGAACACCCGCAGGGAGGAGGATGCCCCATTCCTTAGGCAAAGGAATAGATCAGAGAGGGTGAGGAAGCCGACGCGGGTCACACAGTCAGACCACCGCACACAGGCCCCCAGTGTCTCTCCCTTCAGTTGCCTCTCTGAGGAGCGGCACGCGAACATTCTCCCACACACCTGCGGGTGGAGCTCGGGGGAGGAACATCCGGGGGAAGATTCCACTGGGAGGTCTGGTTATAAAGTCGGAGCTGCTGGAGACTGTCCACCAGGTGATTCAGCCTCTTCCGCTGCTGGTTGATGATCTCGCGGTTGTTGGCAAGGGTGTTAAACAGCGTCTCTCGCTCTGGCACCAGCAGGCGCCTATTGTCAGCAAAGACGGAAAATGAACCATCAGTGCTTCAAGTTAAGCAAAAGCTTAGCAAAAGGGGGACTGAAGGGGCGAGAATGAAGTGGAGCATGACTACGTGGAGAGGGAGGAGGCAGGAGGGCGTGAAGAGGGACGCAAGGCCAGAGCGGGCGGAAGGGGAGAACGGGAAGAACGGGCAGCGGAGGCTCAGCGGCCAAGCCTGCACAGAAGAGAGCACAGGCGGGCAGAAACACACAGCAGCGGTGGGCAGGGGAGGGCAACAGGTAAAGTGAACGAAGGAAGCAACCTAAAGAAGCGGTTTCCTGCAGGGAAACAGAGGTGCCCACGGGAAGTCTGGAGAGCCAATGACCTCTGCAGAGAGCGGTCCAGACACAGAAGCAGCTCCACTGCAGGGAGGGAACCCACCCCAATGAATAACCCGAGATGCTATGCAGCTACTCCAGGCTCTGCACTCAGGAATTACTCCTGGTGGTGCTCAGGGAAGTGTACGGGATGCCGGGGATCGAACCCGAGTCAGCTCTGTGCAAGGCAATCATCCTACCCACTGCACCCACTGAACTTCAGAAAGGAACAACAGTCTCTGGTTCTAAAATGTGTTCAGCACACGTTTTCAAAAGACATTTCCTGGGGCTGGGGCAACAGCACAGCAGAGAGGGCGCTTGTCTTGCATGTCGCTGACCTGGGTTCAATCCCCAGGATCCCATATAGTCCCAAGAGTCTTCCAGGAGTGATCCTTGAATGCAGAGCTAGGATTTAGTCCTGAGCACCATGGGGATGGCCCCAAGATCAAATAAATAAATAAACCAGGGAGATGGCTCAGAGGGCCAGAGAACATGCCACACAGCACAGGGTTCAGTACTGGGCACCACTGGGCCCAACACCAGATGGGAAACAAGAATGCAGCTACATAGTAACTGCAAGGCGTGGTCATGAAAGGAGAAAACAGTCCAATAACAACATGCTCTTAACTTACTGCACAGTGAACACCCAAGTGTGCTTTATAGTTCCCTTGGTTTTAACTCTGTGCTAAAACAATGACTTCCTGTACCTCTGCATTTAAAGGAATACTCTTTACAGTGTATTCAGAAAGTCAGCACACTTTTTTTTTTTTAAAAAAGCGAACTTCTGAGTGAGTGAAGAGAAATCCACCTGCCACACAGAGCAGACTTTTCACAGTCAGGTGAAACCATTTCCTTTTGTTGTGGTTGGGTTTTGGGGGATGACACCCAGCTGGGCTCAGGCTTGGTCCTGGCTCTGCATTCAAGGACCTCTCCTTGAAGGGCATGGTGGTGCCAGGGACCCAACTGGGTCGGCTGTGTGTAAAGCATGTTCCCTCTCTGCTGTGCTATCTCTCCAGTCCACAAAAGCCATTTCTACATGCGGGTTGGACATCAATCAGAGCCAGAGGTGTGCGCTGTGAAATCTTCCATGCAAGCCAACAACTTAAAGGACAAGGGCTGCCAGCCTGGCATCCAGCCCCACCCAGCACCTGGAGATCTAGGCTCGCCTATCTCCCCCATCCCGGGCACAAAGTCTTCACGTGAGTGATCGCTTTTTCATTTTCTAACAGTGCCAGTTTTTGAACCAAGGTCCTCACACATGCAAGACAAATGTTCTACTGGGGATAACTGCTGAGTTACTATCCGCGGCCAGTCAAGGACCCAAGGTACTTTCTAGTCCTGCCGTCCACATTACACAAAGATTGGTCCATGCAAATGCTGTGTAAAGCCACAGGATTGTGAATAAGGAAACGGTTTCCTGGGTTGATTCCACAAAAGGCTCATCACATTCATCAAGTATAGATATTTCTGAATCCCAGTGTTTTGACGTGAGGACAGATTTTTGGGGGTAAGTTTCCTACAGGCACTTTACTGTTCTTACAATGTGATGTAATCCCTACTGATGACAGTTTGTAAACCACGGTGCCCCCACCCCAAAATAAAAAATACTAAACTTAAAAAAAGAACAACCCTGACACGCTGTAATCTTATACTTCCAAAGCCCTAGAAAACTAGGGCGAAAATGTTCCCCCATTATCTCTGCCATCGTTCCTCGCAGCCTTTGAATTTTTCATTCTGATAGCAGAATTCTTCAGAAAAACAAGCAGTACACAGAAGAGAATAGAGGAAAAACTCCTCCTTTTCCCCCGCTGGCAATACAGGTGCTTTCTCAGTCTCCAGGTAGGCCTTCACACTGAGAATACCCTTATAATTGGTCTTTTCTCATATGTCATGTAGGCAATAATTATAATTATGTAAGATCTTATAAAATATTTAATTTTTTAAGTACATGCACTTCAATGGTTTACTACGTTAAAAGAAAAACACACTGTGGGCTAGGGATGAGGCTTGGAAGTTAAGGACATGTTTGGTATGCAAAAGCCTTTGGGCCGGATTCCCAGTACAAAAAGGAAAAGGGAAAAACTGTGACGATACTTCTGAGGCTACCCCACTGATTTGGGATTAGGCTGAACCCAGTTTTTCACTAGCACAAATTGTGCCGCAAAAGAAATTCTTGTGTATCAATGGCTGAATGCTGTTTTTCTGCAGAAGAAACTTCTAGGTGCAAAATTAGAAAACAAAAATGAATGTCTGTAGAATTTAAAAAATAACTGCTCCTAAGCCATTTTTTGAAAAGGTTCTGGCAATATCAAAGTCTATGGAGAAAACACCGGCTCACTTTTGGTTTTTGGTTTGTTCCAGATGCCGATCCCATTCTAAGTCTAGAACGTCATTTACATCCTGGACAGCGAACTTCACGTATTGATGAAGGCGCCGGATTTCCTGCAAGAAAAAGTAAAGGCTGAGAGACTCACAAATACATCTTGGAGAGAGCAACACACTGCAGCGATACCTCCTCACCCTGCAACCGAGCTGACTTCATCTGGGGACCTAGGAGGGGAGTGGACGAGTCCCTCTGCCTGCCCCAACAGAACCCCGGCAGCCGCAAACTCCAGAACCCAATCTCCGCCATGCTCACAGCCCATCTTCACAGGCTCGGGATGAGCCCTAATGTTCCAGAGAATGAATCTGCTGAAATACCCAGGTATGCAAGTTTTGTGTCTGAAACCTCCAGGCTCACAAGTCGGGAATGGGCACCCTCCCTCCATCTCCCTGTGCTTCTGGCTCCCTGGCAGTCAGGCCCACAAACTGCCTCTGGGCACCATTGTAGCACTGTAGCACTGTCCTCCCGTTGTTCATTGATTTGCTCGAGCGGGCCCAGTAATGTCTCTATCGTAAGACTTGTTGTTACTGTGTTTTGGCATATCAAACACGTCACAGGTAGCTTGCCAGGCTTTGCCGTGCGGGTGGGATACTCTTGGTAGCTTGCCAGGCTCTCCGAGAGGGGGCAATATTTTTGTCGATTTTTTTTTGTCCGAGAGGGGGCAATAATTTTTGTCCGAGAGGGGGCAAAAACTTTTGTCCGAGAGGGGGCAATAATTATGTCGAACCTGGGTTGGCCGGGTTGGCAACGCGCAAGGCAAACGCCCTACTGCTGTGCTATTGCTCTAGCCCTCTGGGCACCATATAAGGTATTATACAGCCATGATCCAGAAACTCACAAATAAATCTTGGAAGAGAGCAACACGCTGCAGAGACGCCACGTATGCACCAAGAATAGCACACCACAATGGACCTTGTTCAATAGATATATGTATATATATTTATATATACAAATACACAAGGATCAATCTCTTAAACAGGGAATTAATAGCTCCAAAGTAAAATACAACAATTTTCACACTTTCCTCTAAGGAAACCTTTTTGGATAATTTTTAGTGGATTATTCATAACAAGCTATGTTGGCTGCATGCAAGGCAAACGCCCTACCGCTGTGCTATCGCTCCAGCCCTGGGCTGGAGCGATAGCACAGCGGGTAGGGCGTTCGCCTTACAAGCGGCCAACATGGCCGACCCGAGTTCGATTCCTCCGCCCCTCTCGGAGAGCCCGGCAAGTTCCCGAGAGTATTCGATATGCCAGACACAGTAACAACAAAGTCTCCAATGGAGACGTTACTGGGCCCGCTCGAGCAAATCGACGATCAACGGGAGGGCCTTTACCTTTACTTTTTTTATTCATAACAAGCAATACAAAATAAATTACTGAGCCTCTTCCTTTGGGGCAAGCTTGGGTGGTGGTGGAAAAAATCCGAAATAATGGTGGTGGGAAGGTGTAATGGTAGTGGGATTGGTGCTGAAATATTAAATGCAATAAATTATTTGAACAACTTTATAAAAATTAAAAAGAATTAAAAAAAAAAGTAAAGGTCCATGGCTCAGTTTCCCAGTACTTTGGGGAAAGATGTGTCAAATATCTTTCATATTTTTATGCTGAGAATCATAACAAGGAAAACACAGATTTTAACACCATCATGTGGACGTTATAATTAACAATGACTAATCTAACTGTGCACAGGGAGCAGTGCAAGGAGAAGAGACTCGGAAAGGCACATTAGCCTGAGGTCTCTGGGGAGCGAATGTTCTGGCTTAGTTCTCATTTTTCAGCTTCTGTAAAGTATCTCTACCTGGCCTGGGAATTTTCCACCCAACTCTGGAACTCTGACAGCATACACTCAGCTTCTGCTCTCTCACCTATGAAATTAACTCTAATAGACAAAATTATCTAGAAAATAGTGCTAAAAATAATTAAGAGCCCACCTATTTATAGCACAGCACATGTAAGTCTTCTCAGCATTAAGAAATACGATTTTTTTTCTCAAAAGCAAAGAATGGTATCAGTACTAGGAAGTGAATTAAGCATTACTAAAATTCTGACCTATTCACTTACTTCATTTCTTCAATTTTATTTTAGTTTTGGGGTCACACTGGTGATACTCATGGCATGCTCCTGGCTCTGCACTCAAGGATGACTCCTGGCTGTGCTGAAGGGCCATATGGGATGCCGGGGTAGAACCTGGGTCAGCTGCATGCAAGGAAAGTCCCTAGTTGCTGTACCGTGGCTCTGGTCCAGAACAGTATTAGACCCATTAACTTATTTTATCTTACTTTATTTTTGGCTTTTTGGGTCACACCCAGCTTTGCACAGGGGTTACTCCTGGCTCATGCACTTAGGAATTACTCCTGGCGTTGCTCAGGGGACCATATGGGATGCTGGGAATCAAACCTGGGTTGGCCGAGTGCAAGGCAAACACCCCACTGTGCTATCTCTGTAGCCCCACCATTAACTTATTTTAGACAACTTTCTTTAAATTCTGGGTTCAGTGTTCTGAAGTAAGCCCTGAGCACTGCTGGGTGTGGCCCCAACACAGAAACAAACAAAAAAAGGATCCGTGTTAAACACCATTGGCCAGACAATGCCAATCCTCAAAAAAAAAAAAAAAGAAAAAAAAGAAAAAAAATAAGCGCTTTCTTTAAATAATATACTAGGAAAAGCTCTTTCCATCTGTACAACAGTTATGTTCAACGATATTTCCAAGATTATTTTTGAATGAAGGCATCTGCCTCAACTGAAAAAAGGGAAAATGTCACCTTGCTCCCACGGGGCTGACTCCATCCAGGAAGGAGCCCAAGTGGCCCCAGGCTCTCACCGAAGCCCCTCTGCAGCCTGGGGCTCCAGGCAGCCTCACTCCTGCCGACTGCTCTCCCCACTGTCTACCAGATTTAAAAACCCCTTCTTAGGCCTGTCACCAACACCTCATCCCTGTGGCTTAGCTCTGGCTCCCGTGCAGAGAAGCAGAGCCCCCGTTCCACTGCTGTGCAGTCATTCCCTTGGACACTGCACCAGCTGAGAGCAGAGATCTGCCTGGCACGTCTGAACACGCAGCCCAAGCTCCGTGCCCAGATTTCCCGAGTGGAGAGTCGCGGGCACTTCTCGTGTTATCTCAGCTTTCTTCCGAATCTGTGCACTCAACAAAAGCAGCGACAGTTCCCTACTTACCTCTGGGAAAGGAAAATAAAGAGGAGCGGGGCGGGCGTGGTAGAACAGCAGGGCAGGCGCCCGCCTTGCGCCAGGGCCATGTGGGTTTGATCCCCAGCGCTGAGTAGGCGTCCCTGAGCCACACCAGGAGTGCTCCCTGAGCACAGTGGAGCATGGCCCGAAAACAAAGGCTTCCCTTTGCAGGCTGCAGGTGGTGGAGGGCATCTCTGACAGCACCCCCTCCCTGGCTGGCTCCTGGTGTCCTTAGTGGGGAGAAGGGCCCCCCCAGAGCACTCCCCTTTTCACTTTTCTGTCTGGCTGCATTCCCGTATGTGGGGGGGGGGGGGGCGGTTGTGCCTCGTGGCCAGGGGCCTGAGTTGAGGGGCGGGCAGGTGGCCGGCAGGTGGCCAGCACTCCCGGACCAAGAGGCAGCAGGACCAGCCACTGCCTCCGTTTTCAGAGTGTTAGAGGGAAGATTCTAGGGGCGAGGTGGCGATGGCAGCCTGGAACTAGGAGGCAGGAGGGGTCTGTCAGAGGCAGAAGACAAGCGTGTGGAAGCCAAGCCTCCATCCGGTGGGGACTCCAGGCAACCAGAAAGAGGTGGGCAATAACCCACCCAACACTTGTGAGGCACTCATTCTGAATAAGGAGAAAACGAACAAAAACAACAACAAAGATTCAGCTAAGAGAGTGACTGAGAGTTAAGACCCACTGAGAAGGTTGACTTGGCTGAAGTGTGTCGGCGAGAGAGCGACCAGGCAGGGAGAAGGGTTGGTCTCGCCCGTTATTTCCACCATCACCTCAGGGGAGCACTTCAGTCTGAGGCTCAGTTTCCCTCTCTTAAAGGGGACAGGGTGGGGCTGGAGAGCCCCGTGGGTAAGGCGCCTGCCTGCCTTGCATGCGGCCGGCCGAGTCTTAAACCCCAGGGTGGTGGGGTGGGGCAAAAGGGTCACATCCTGCAGCACAACTGAAGCCTGGACTAGAGGTGCTCTCGAAACACGGAGCAGGGAACGGACAAACTGCTACTTCCGCGCAGCCCCTAACAAGCTTGTGACTCTATCAGGATGTCCCTGGAGGGGCTCAGAGCAAGCACTGGATCCCGGATTCCAAAGCCCATATGGCATGTGCGGCGCACAACCCTGCGGGTGCTGCCAGTAACCCTGGGTGCCTGCACTCAGGCCTGTCGAAAGAAGGGGCGTGGCCGCTCAGGTGAGCAGGCCCTGCAGAGAGCCGCTGCCTGGACTGACGCGCCCATCAGGAAGCCGGAGGAAGCCGCTCTGCTCCGGCATGGCCACCTACCTGCAACTGGGCCTCACTCTTCGGATCCAGGGGTCTCTTATAAAGCAGATGCAGGTATCCGGAGTCACGGTTCCGCTCGTTCTGCTCTCGGGCTTCTTCGACACCAGCAAATCCCTCCAGCAGAGTCGTTTTCAGGGTGCTTATATCCCCGTGGAGAGACTAGGAGAGGCAGGAGGAGGCACTGCAATAAGCAGGACAGAACTTCTCCAGTATTAAATGCACATTTCCCTCAACAGTTAATGGTCATGTAATGAAAAAAATGTCACCCTCGAGAAGGATCCTAGTATTATTCTAGGGGAGCCCTGCTGGCATCACTCAGTGGGTGAAGTGGGCTGGAGGGCTCAGAGCGCAAGCCCATCCACACAATGCCACTCGGCGACGCCTGGGGGCCGCAAGGACTATCCCAGCGGTGCTCAGGACAACAGCTACTGAGGGAACTCTGGGCAAGCTGCTGAATGACCTTTCCTGACCCTGTTTGTGGGTTAATTTTTCTTGTTTATGAAAGACATACTTTAGAGCCAGAGTGTTAGCACAGCAGAGAGGGCATCTGCCTTGCACGCAGCCTACCCGGGTTCAATCTCCAGCATCCCAGATGGTACCCAAGAACTGCCAGGAGTGATTCTTGAGCACAAAGCCTGGAGTAAGTCCTGGGTATTACCAGGCATGCCCCCCTCCCCGCCCCATCCCCTCCAACTCAAAACAAACAAAAAAAAACACTGAGCCATTATGACAAGTCACTTCAATGGCTAAACTCAAGTTTCCTAGCTTGGAAAATCAACAACAGACATAGAGGAAATCCGAGGGTTCAGCAAGAGGAGGCGGCCGCGCCCGGCACTGTGCCTTCCGCACAGCGAGGAGCAGTGTCCAGTATCTGCCATGGTCCCACGGGATGGCCAAGCTCTCGAGCATTAGGTTGAAAAATAAACTAACGCTTTACTATAAGCTAAGTTTACTATAAAAATAGTGAACTTTTGAGTCCAGAGAGATAAACAGCAGGGAAGGTGCTTGCCGGGCACAGGACCAACTCCCAGCACCACATATGGTCCGCTGAGCTCTGCCAGGAGTGATCCCTGAGTACAGAGCCAGGACTCAGCCCTGAGCACGGCGGGAGTGACACTACCCCCCCAAAATAAATAAATAGTAAAAAAGGTAAACTAGATAAAACTTGTTAACCTTTTCTCCCCTTTTTCATAAACTTGATTTACTTCAGGTCAGACAAACAGGAAGGGAATAAGGGGTTCGCCTTGCATTGTGGCAAACACCATTTGAATTCCCAGCAGCACAGGTAGTCCCCAGAGCACCGTCAAGAGGATGAGCACCGAGCAAGGAGTAAGCCCTGAACACTCACTGGTGTGGTCCAAAAGCTAAACAAATAGCAGACGTAAAACGAGGGAAAAAACTGTGTATTTACTTGACAAAAACAAAAGGGCCAACACAGCGGTGGCTCTCCTTGAAGAGATAAACCTCTCCTCATACGGGTGCTAGAACTCTTCCCAGAAGTGTGACTCGGTCGAGACAAGGCTCAGCAGGGGAGACCAACGCCTTGCAGGCAGCCAACCCGGATTTGATCCCTGGCACCACCGAAGAGCCACCAGGAGTGATCCCTGAGCACTGAGCCAAGAGTAAGCTCTGGACACCAAATGTGAACCGAATCCCGCTCCCCACCCCCAAGGAAAAAAACCAACAGCAAGAGCACAATTCTGGGGCTGGAGACACCTCAGGGGCTGAGCGCAGGCCCTGCCCTGGGGTCCCCTCCGGCCATGAATGGTCCCAAGTACTGGCGGGAGCAGGTCCCAGTCCCCAGCCCCCAGCACACACCCACAGGAGGACTTAAGGCAGACCTCGGTAGTGTCCTTGATCTCCAGGAGGAAGGTGTCCAGGCCGTCGGACTCTGCCCGCAGCATCTTCATCTCCTCGGCAGTGCCCACCTGGAAATAAGCCTCGGAGGTCCGGGCTTTCAGTTCTTCCAGCTCCTTCTGGAAGTGCGCGATCTGTAGGAGCCAGAGAGAGGGCCTCAGACTGAGCAGCAGGGCAGGGCCATCCCAGCCCTCGGCGGACGCGCTGCAAAACCCGGGCAGGGCCCAGTGAGTGCCAAGGCCAGAATGAGGCCGTCTGGCAGAGCAGCTTCTGGGAAAGACTGCAGGAAGAAGCTCACCTCCTCCCCGATCCCAGCCAAGACGGGGTCCGAGTCTTTCCACGGATGCGCCTGCTTCTCGGTCGCGGAGAGCTGAAACGGCTTCATCTGAAAGGGAAGGCAAAGGGCTTGGGGATGCTCCCGCCACACATTCTGGCGCTGGCAGTGGCTGGCGCTGTGCCACCCACCCTGGCGAGGGGGCTGCGCCTCTGTCACTGGTTGGTATTCATTCTTCTGAAGCTGGCTGTCCTGGGAGCCTGCTGGGAGGAAGCGGCTAGAGGGGACCCCCCTCGCCTGCCCTTCCCTGCCACTGGGACAAAAGGCACAAGCAAGGTCGTTCCAGTCAGTGAAAAATGACAAGTAAGAGGGTAAAGTGGGGCACTCTGTGAGATGGGACGAGTCCCAAGGGACTTACTGTGGGTTGGGGTCAGAGTGCTAGTACAATGGTTAGGGCGCTGGCCTACCACATCCTTCACACTCCCAGTGCCTGAGCACTGCCAGGAGAGATCCCTGAGCACAGAGCCAGGACTAAGCCTGGGCATCACCAAGTATTGGCCCCAAAAGCCAAAACCAACAAAAAAGAGCAGGGCAGCATGTTTTAGGAAGAACAGCAAGTATAAAGGCCCTGGGGCTGGAAGGCTCTAGCAAGTTCTGGCAAATCAAGGCAAAGAGGTAAATGCAGGCATAGGGAGGCAGCTGGTTAGGGCAATGGGTTCGGCGAGAGTATCCCACGGAGGGACAGAGCGCCAGCACAGCGGGGAGGGCATTTACTTAACATGTGGCCCACCCAGGTTCAATCCCCAGCACCCTATACATTGCCCCCTAGTACTGCCAGATGGTTCCTGAGTGCAAAGCCACGGGCAATCCCTTAGCACTGCGGGGTGTGGGCTCTCCCAAACAAAGCAGTATTATACCAGAGAGCCTGGGTTTTATTCTAAGTGTGCTGCAAACCTAGTCCTGGAATTTTACTTTAAGGATCTAAACTACTAGGGCCAGAGTGATGGTACAGCATCACTTGCCTTGCAAGAGGCTGACCTGGGTTTCATCCCCTGTATCCGAGTCCCCCAAGCACCTCCAAGAATAATTCCTAAAGTGCAGAGCGAGGAGAAACCCCTGAGCACCGCCAGGTGCGGCTCCAAGGTGGAGTCCCATTTCAGAGGAGCTATGAATGAGGCACCAAGGCCAGGCCGCAAGCAGGCCAGAGTCTGCCTCCCCCTCACAAGTCGGGGACTCTGGGAACATGCAAAGGCCATGCGGGGGGCCTGCGATGCTCACAACTTTGACCTGGCAGGTTTCTGTCCGGGGACTCAGATAATGATAATTCACCGAGGGGAGTATGTTCTATCGTCAGTAGGAAATTAAACACGTACAACAAGCTGAGACGGTGTGGGGAAGCAGAGGAAAACAGGCACGACACAGAGAGGGAGAGCCTTTCCCGACAGAAAAGGAAGCAGGGGCGGCACAGCCAGGGAAGCCCAGGACCAGCAGGACCCAGGGCCACCGTCCGACTGGCCAGAGGAAGTGTCTCTTCTAAGCAAGCACCGGAAACCTGCAGCCCCGGCGCCTCAGCACGTGGCCGGAAGGAGCACTCGGAGGTGTGCCCGAGGCTCTTCGGCCTGGAGGCTTGGGACAGCAGTGACAATCACAGCGGTTTACATGCACTTAACATACCTGGGCCTTGGTCACCGTCGGGGCTATCTTGGGTGATTTCTGCGCCATGGAGGGCACTGGACTGAGACTGCCGTGGGTCGCTCGCCCTGTTAGAATCCAAAGTCGCAAGAAACACAGTGTCACTCCCCTGGTCCTTCCCCTCGTGAATGTCCGGTCCTCAAATCTGTTTTTGGCCCCACTGATGATCGACATTATTGCGAATCATCTCCACTGTTCTGTCGGCCCCTGCTCCAGATAACCTGAAAACATCCATCTTTCTTTTCTTTCTGGGTCTCACCCACCATTGCTCAGGGCTCCCTCCTGACTCTGAGCTCAGGGATCACTCCTGGTGGGACTGGGGGGAACACATACGGGATGCCGAGGACAGAAGCCGGAATCGGGCCTCATCCGTCAGACCACTTAATGCAGTCCCAAATGTATGTCCTTCAACATTAAGCCCTCGAATAAAGCAGGCCACACCGGGAGTCTCTGAAACTTGGTATGTGTACATGTGTGCAGGCCAAGGTGACTGGCCTCGTTCTTATTCCCCACAGCAGCTGATGTGAAGACAAAATGACATCAGGTACCACTGGTGGTACAAAAAGTTTGACCTGATTCTCACTGTGTGGAGGCTACCGGATTCCAAACTGAGAGACAGTCCGCAAACTGCCGAGCTTAGGCTCCTCACAAGTGCTACCCGTGTGAAAGCCCTGTCCAAGGCTGAGAAAGAACACTGGAAAACTAGAATGCAGAGGAGTGGTGCCTGGCTGGAGGGAGCAGCCGCCACACACAGCCGGACAACTGTGGAAACGAGAAGAGGCTCTACAGACCAGCTGCAGTTGCTCACGCACACACACGCGCGTACACACACACACACACACACACACACACACACACACACACACACACACACACACCCAACAGATAGGGCAGGAAGTGCTCCCTGCCTCCAATTTTCTATTAAGTTTTAGAAAAACAACTTCCGGGGATTGGAGCGACAGCACAGCGGACAGGGCGTTTGCCTTGCACGCAGCCGACCCAGGTTCAATTCCCAGCATCCCATATGGTCCCCCGAGCACTACCAGGAGTAATTCCTGAGTGCATGAGCCAGGAGTAACCCCTGAGCATCGCCAGGTGTGACGCCCCCCCCAAAAATAAAAAAAGAAAAACAACTTCCATGAGAAAGGAAGATAAAGCAAATGGAAGAGCACGCTGGCAGGTGCATCTGCGTAAAGGGCACAGATACATTACACAATCCTGGCGATCTTTCCTGAGGTCTGACGGGTTGCAGCACGTGTGTGCTCCTGCAGTTTCACAGTGCACTTCTGTTCTGCTTGGCTATACTAATGACTTCCCATTTGTGATCCTTACTGAATAAACCTGCTTAAATAGGGCAGAAGATCAAAGTACAAAAATGCTCTCCCAAGGCGCTCAGCGGAATAACCACCCAGACTCGTTCTTTTCCGTGCCTGCCAGGGCTGCACTGTAAATTTCCTTCAGTAGGGAAGGTGCAGTATGAGGACAAATGGCCCCAACAAGACCCTTTCTGTGCACGGGCAGCGCACTCGGCTACACAGAGCTGTTGGAGAAAGGGCCTCGGGCCTCGGCCAAGCCTCCTGATGCAAAGGGCAAAGATCACAGCACACTGGCATGGCACAGGAAGAAAGAAAACAGAATGCTGTTCCGCTTACCAACTCTAAAAAAACTGCATTTCAGAATGCAGAACTCAGGGCTGGAGAGATAGAAAAGGACAGTGGGGACGGCATCTGCCTTGCTCGCGGCTACCCCAGGTTCACTCCCAGGCACCCCATGTGGTCCCCTGGGCTCCACCAAGAGTGATCCCTGAGTGCAGAGCCAGCAGTAGCCCCCGAGAAATACTGGGTGTGGCCAAAAACAAACCCAGGGGAAAATGCAGGCCCGAGCTCTAAAGGAGTCTGCTGAAAACCCTACCTGGCCCTGAGGGAGACGCGGAGGGTTTCGATGACATGGCACTAGGCTGCAGAAAGACCGGTGGCGTGTGACTGAGCAAGCCGGGAGTGAGCTTGGAGGTGGACGAGAGCGGCAGTATGGGGGGTGCGCTCTGGGAGCTGTGAACGGAGCAGAGAAGGTTGCAGTGGTGAGTCCGGGGAGTTCGGCTGGAATGAATGCACCCGACAGCCTCCACTCTTCCCACTGCTCGCCAGTAGAGTGCTCAGATGGGAAACGACTGCTCAAACCCTTCTGTCTCCACGACAAAGAAACGATTCGCTATTTCTTATAAAAGGTCAAACCTGCAGGGAGGGCACTTGCCTGGCACACGATCCTCGGCACCCCAGACGGTGCCCTGAGCAACACCAGGAGTGATTCCTGAGGGCAGAGCCAGGAGTAGCCCCTGAGCACTGCTAGGTGTGGCCGTCAAAGCAAAATCGAACAAACAAAGGTAGAAGTTGCAAGGAAACAAAGATCAGTTTATTTTAAAATAAATGAGCTGGGGGCTGGAGCGATAATCCAGGGCAAGGTGCTTGCCTGGCATGTGGCTGACCCCTGTACCACACATCGTTCCGCAGGAACCACCAGGAGTGACCCGGAGCAGACTCAGAAGCAGGTTCTGAGCAACACTAGGTATGACCCAAACACCAAAAAAGAATAAAGGGGCAGGGCAGGGGCTGCAGCTCTGTGCTAAAACACAGGCTTCGTCAGAGCAAGGCCCTGAATCTGGGGACCAAAGGACACAGGTCCCGTAAAAAAGCCAAGCAAAGAAAGAAAAAGTCAAGAAAACATCAAGTAGCTTGCTGAAGAGACGATACACGCCCTGCACGTGACTGACTCCAGCTCAGTCCCCAGCACATTTGTTCAGGAACAGCCCCAGAGCACTGCTAGAGAGGGCCGAAAGTCAAAAGCCAAACCCAGAACACTTTCAAGGAGTTATAAAAAACAAAACGACTGTACCTCACAGTGATTCACTGATAAAAAATTAAAAAAAAAAAACCCACTACCATGATATAAAATATTCTATTCTATCCAGCTGATTTTTGTTTTTATTTTATTTTTAATTTAGTACATTTTTGGGTTGTTTTTTCTTTCCTTTTTTTTTTTTAAATTGAGCAACCATGAGATAGAGCATTACAAAATTGTTTATGATTGCAGTTCAATCGATTGTTTTTATTTCAAAGGGTGAGACTCAGGGGCCAGACTGATAGGGTAGGGCGTTTGCCTTGCATGTAGCTGACCTGGGTTCGGTCCTGGCATTCCATATGGTCCCTCTAGCACCATCAGGAGTGATCCCTGAGTGCAGAGTAAGCCCTGAGCTTACTACATGTTGCCCCAAAACAAACAATAACAACAACAACAAAGAAAAATAAAAGGAGTGGGAATCAAGTTTTCTCCCTGCAGGAGGAATTCATCTAGAATTGGTTTGGGTTTATTATCTCCAAAGTGAAAAAGAAGGGGAGAGCAGTCACCATTTTTGGGGTGCTCACAATCTAATGGGACAGAAAGTAATGCCCAAGGAACAAAAATCCGAGCAGCAACGACAGCGGGAGGGCCAATCCGGATCGGGTCTCTGGCACTGCACGTGTTCCCCCAAATACCATCAGGAGCGATCCCTAAACACAGCTGGGTACGCCAGCCCCCCACAAAAAGGAAAAATGAAAGAGTGAAATATCTGCCCTCTTAAACAACCAGCATGAAATGACCACCCCCAAATAAAGCACGACAGTCACTTGGTGGCTAGGATGAATCATGATGGAGCCCCCAGGGTTAGAGTGAAGCGGTGTCGTGCAGCCCTCGTTAACAATGACCGCAGCGGCGGCGGCCAAAGCCAGCAAAAAGAGCCGGTGAGGAGAATTGGGGGAGGCCGGCAGTGCTGCCGCACTGCTTCCGGAAAGCCCAGAGGACCCCTGCTCTCAAGAAACTCACATTCTAAGGGGAAAGAGAGTAGGTGACAAAGTGTTTTTTGGCTTGTTTTTAAAGGTGACTAGACAGGTCCCAATCTGGTGGCCGCTAGGGTCGTCTAAGGAACACACTCCCTCTGCTCAGAGCAGCAGTGGGCAGCCCCGGGCCAGGAGGACAATGCGGGGACCTGCAGCTGCGTAGGGCCACTCTAGCGGCGGTAGAGAAAGGAGTCTGGACAGAGCCAACGGGGGCACAGGGACAAAATGGGCAAGGAAGCCCTGTCAGAGGCAAGCGCCCGATAAGGGGCTGGCCCGGATCCCACCCCCACACTGTGTTGTAGGCAGCACTAGGGCACCGAGCAGGGCCAAGAGTAGCCCCCACGCACGGAATCAGGCCCCCTCCAAGAGTCCTTCCGAGGAAGACGTGTGCTCCGCACTGTTTCCTTCTTCAAAAGGTATGCCATCTACATTAATAACCCAAAAAAGGCAAAGCCAGTTGAGACAGAAACCACTAACAGCGGCTGAAACACTGAAATTCTATGAGGTCCTTCCTGATTCCATCTACTGATGCAAGATTTTTCCTGCTGTCCTCCCCATATTTAAGTACGACTTTGGAAATGCAAAATAAAAAAATTCTTTCTAGCAATTCCAAACACGGCGCTCGAGTCCTTGCCAGGAGCTGCCCTCCTCCCGTCGCTGGCCCTTACCTTTCGCTTGGGCCACTCTTGGCCATGGCCGCCGCGGGCAGGCTGGAGGGCTTCAGCCCCACGTTGGCAGGAGACAAGCTGGGGGCCGGTGTGCTCTGCAGGGTGGGCTTAAAGCCCACTGCGCCCAAGAAGGGGGGAGCTGCCGACGCCACGGGCGAAGCCGCAGGGGTGGGAGCCGGGGAGGCTTGGGGAGGAGGAGAAGCGAAAGGGAAGGCGGAGGCACTGGAACCCAGAGCTGCTTTGGGCGTGTTCAAGGCGCTGGAGTATGCCGGGGGCTCCCCAGCTGCCGATGCCGGCGGCTTCAAGGAGGAAGTGGCAAAGGAGAAGCCGAGAGAGGGCAGAGAGAAGGTGGAGGTGGGGGCAGCAGGCCCCGAGGGAGGCACTGAGATGGCAGCGGCGGTCAGCGGGGAATCCAGTTTCTGGGCAGCGGGCGAGGAGGTTGGGGTGGTGGGAGTACTTCCTGCAGTGGGAAAACGAGAAAAGGAAGAAATTAACCCTCTGACGGTGAGGCCAGAAACGGTTCACAGGGATGGCGCCCGAGCCTGTCCTGCGTGAGGCTCTGAGTCTGATCCCCAGCACTTAACGGCTACAGCCCAGCACCGCCAGACCAGGGTGCCCTGGACACTGCCTGGTGCTGCCCCCACCACAAACCTGGAACAGCCTGGCATGTATGTACAGAAAACAGGCACCAAGAAGCTGTGTGTGCGTGTGTGTGTGTGTGTGTGTGTGTGTGTGTGTGCGCGCACACACACAGAGAACAGGCACCAAGAAGCTGACAGTGTGTGTGCAAAGAACAGGTTCCAGGAGCTGACTGTGTATGTGAAGAGATCAGGCACCAGGGAGCTGATGGTGTGTGTGTGTGTATGTGCACGTGTGCAGAAAGATCAGGCACCAGGGAGTTGTGTTTGTGAAGAAAATAGGAGTGGAAAGCTGACTGTGTGTGAAGAGAACAGGTGCCAGGGAGCTGACTGTGAGTATGGAAAGAAGAGGAACGGGTAGTGACTGTATGTGTGAAGAGAGAACAGACACCAGGGAACGACTGTGTGTAGAGTACAGGCATCAGGAGGCTGATTGTGTGCACAGAGAACAGGCACCAGGAAGCTGTGCGCACAGGAAGCTGTGTGCGCAGAGAACAGGCATCAGGAAACTGTGTGCACAGAGAACAGGCACCAGGAAGTGACTGTGTGCACAGAGAACAGGCACCAGGAAACTGTGTGTGCAGAGAACAGGCATCAGGAAACTGATTGTATGCGCAGAGAACAGGCACCAGGAAGTGTTTGTGTGCGCAGAGAATAGGCATCAGGAAACTGTGTGCGCAGAGAATAGGCGCCAGGAAGTGTGCAAAGAACAGGCATCAGGGAGTGACTGTGTGCAGAGAACAGGCATCAGAAAGCCCGTTGTGGCTGCAGCTTGATGGCTCAGTAATTTTTCATACTTTCTCAGTTTTCTTTAATAAATATACTACATTTCAAAGGAGAGGGAACAACTATTTAAAACTAAACAAACTATAAAGAAGCAGTCTCTATCACTCAGAAATTATATTTTAGATTTAAATATCCAGTTAACTATTTTTCCTATGCATACTTTTTTGGAGGGTGTAGGTTTGGAGCTAGAAAACAAATGAAGAAATACTAATTACTGCTAATATTAAGAGTGGCTTCAGGTTGTTTTGATTTTTAGTCACACTCGGTGGTGCTCAAGACTTAGTCCTACCTCTGTGCTCAGGGATCACTCAGGGCTCTGGGGCCCTATGAAATATCAGAGCTCAGGGCTGGAATGAAAGTAAAACGAGGAGAGCATTTGCCTTGCATGCAGCCAACCAGGGTCTGATCCCCAGCATCCGATATGGTCCCCCAAGCACCACCAGGAGTAATTCCTGAGTGCAGAGCCAGGAGCAACGCCTGAGCACCACTGGGTGTGACAATCCACCCCCCCCCCGCCCACACACACACACAAAAAAAATCAGAGCTCCAACCAGGGCCAGACCCCATGCAAGGCAAGACCCTTAATGCCTGTAGTACGTCTCCAAACTCTAGGCATGCATTTCCTCCCCTAAATAGACACAACTCAGAATGTATAAAACTTTTCATCAATAAATATCCTGTTCTGGTAACTGGGCAGAATGCTACAGTATGACTGTACAACTGTGTGCCAACCCTTCCCTAACGCAGGCTCACACATGGCACTATCTGGAGCAGGTAGGTCCACACGTGCCAGGAAGAGACAAAGCAGGGGAGCCAGAGAGAAAGAGAGCCACCGTACACCCTCACACTTCTCAGGATGGGACGCGGAGAGCCCGCACTGCTGACCAGGGACAGTACATACCTGATGACTTGGGCTGTCGCTCTCCCTCGAGGGAGAGCCTCTCCGGGGTCCTGATGAGGGACCTGACCCCAGGATTTTGATTGATCATGTAAAACGGACAGAGCACACCGTCTGTAGAAAGCAGCAAGAGAACTGGAGCAGGAGGGAGGGTCTTCTCATCATCTGGGAACAGAAGTGAAAGTGACGGTCAAGAGGCTCATCCCACTTCCCCCACCTGCCAGGTCCCGCCAGAGAGCTTGTCCTAACACAGCTCTGTCCACTGCGTGCCTGCCTCGAGCCCTTCATGCCCTGCAGGAAAGCCCTGACAGGTCTACAACGGCCCCGACCCCCAAAGGTGTCTTGATTTTTACAATGTCTCAGTACCAGGAGCAATTCAACATTCTCCGATCCAAGCCACAAGGCACTAAGTCTTTCAGGCTGACACACATGAAAAATCTGAAACCCTGAGAAACATGTAAAACACAGAAAAGTGACTCAGGCTACTTTATCTGCATCCATCGCTGAGATAGAAGCAGAAACTGTCAGGTAAGACGCTTTGGGGGGAGGGGGGGAGAAGCTGGAGCAATAACACAGGGCGTTTTGCATTGCACGTGGACGACCCAGGCTCAATTCCCAGCATCCCATATGGTCCCCTGAGTACCGCCAAGAGTAACTCCTGAGTGCAGAACCAGGACTAACCCCTGTGCACTGACGGGTTGACCCAAAAAAGCAAAAAAAAAAAAAAAAAAAAAAAAAAAAAGCTTTCTGGGAGCTGGCCTGCTTTCATCTTCAACAAAGACGTTAGAACTTCAACATAAATGAAACTAAATAAGACTAAATACTTTGCTGGGGCATTATTGTTGATTTTTGTGTTTTTATGATGGGAGAGGGGTCACACCTGGCAAAGATCAGGGGTCACACCTGATGGTGCCCTGGGGACCATATGGGATGCCAGGGATAGAAGTCAGGTTGGCAAGATACAAGGTAAGCACTTTACCCACTGTCCTATTCCTCTGGCCACAGAATAAATTCTTGGAGAACAAGAGACTCCCGTGGTGCCCATAGGGGTTGCCTCTCTTTGCAGAAGCCACTGAGAGCAGAGGCCATGCCGTTCAAGGCACTTTCCCATTTCTCAGGCTGGCAACAATGACAGACCTCAGAAAGGCACAGGGCACACAACACGCCACCACTGAGCCCAGCCCTTGCGTGTGGGCCGTCACACTAGGCGTGGGGTGGTTCCGTCTAGGGGCTGCTCCTGTGCAAGGTACTCGGAACCTGGAATGGGTAAAGACGCAAAGCTCTCTGGGAATAGGAGCAACAGCACAGTGGGGAAGGCGTTTGCCTTGCACGCAGCCAACCCAAGTTCAATCATCAGCACCCCATATGGTCCCCAAGCCCTCCGGGAGTTATCCCTGAGCGCACAGCCAGGAGTCAGCCCAGAGTATTACTAAGAGCAGCCAAAAGCAAACAAACAAAAGCCAGCCCTGAAATCTGCATGTGCTGTTTCAGCCCCGCAGGGCACTTGGGCTCATTGACTACGCGTGGCCACTGACATGAGTGCCATCTCTATCCCGTATGCCTCTCACTTCAAGCAGAAACTCAGCCTAACCTGGTGTGAAAATGCAGATTAGGGATTCAGTATGAGCCAGAGGCACAGAGAAGCGGCTCCTGGAGCTGGAGGGGCCCTTGAGGGAGGGCGCTAGCCTTGCATGGAACAGAAAAAGACCCGGGTTCAATCTCGGCATCCCCGACAGTCCCCCCTAACCCACCAAGAGTCAGCCCTGAGTGTGTGGCAGGGAGAAGGTTCTGAGAATAGCCGGTGGCCCAAAACAAACAGACACAAGAGAGCTCTGGACCCTAGCCACTTACTGATGGCCACTTCCACCTGGTTAGTGTAGTCCACAGCCACTCCCACAGGCAAGGAGTCATCACTTTTGTCAGTCACGGGTAGTTCGGCTCGACTAGAATCCTCTAATAGCCAAGACTCCCAATTAATCTGGGGAGAAAAAAGAAAGGAAAACAAAAGGAAATGCCGGTTAGAATTTTGCAGTGGTTCCTGTTAACACCACTCATAACAGGAGAAAAGGAAAATCCAATTCTGATTCCGTGCCGTGCGCCGACAGGGAGCAAAATTCGGAAAGATGGGTCTAAAAATCCTGGGTCCCCCAGCAGATGAGGGGTCAGCCTTCCAAATCCAGCTCTGCTCCTGGTGCTTCAAGTCTTGTGACCCGAAAGCGAAGAGAATAGACTGGTTTTCTGAGGGCCCACGTAGGCAGGGAAACCTGCTGAACCAAGCCGGTCACAACCTGCTCCAGAAATCTGAGATGGGGCCGAGAGCGCTGTGCTCGGTTATCCAGAGAGCAGATGGGACTTTCGTAACACGGGCCCATCTTCCCGCCCCTGGATCCCCTGAGAACAATAGATCTCCGCCCTTCAAACTTCCCTTTTGTTCAGTTTGCAAGACTGAGTTCTATTCCTTCCAAGAAGTGATTCTTACCTTTAAAAAAAAAAAAACCATGAACAGGGGCTGTAGCAATAATACAGCAGGTTGAGCCTCACACGCGGCCAACCTGGGTTCAATTCCCAGCATCCCATATAGTGCCCCGAGCACCGCGAGGAGTAATTCCTGAGTGCAGAGCCAGGAGAAACCCCTGAGCATCTCTGGGTGTGACCCAAAAAGAAAAAAAAAAAAAAGAAAAGGAAAAAAACCCACAAACACCTGGTATTTCAGTGTTGATCAAAACTGGGTGACATGAGGGAAGGGGGCGAGGGGGACGCAGTGTCCAGTGAGTAAGAGTGGATGTGGCAAGGCTTCCTGACCAGCTCTGGAGTGAGTAGACCACATTCATGTAAAGTAAAGGCCCTCCCGTTGATCGTCGATTTGCTCGAGCGGGCCCAGTAACGTCTCCATTGGAGACTTTGTTGTTACTGTGTCTGGCATATCGAATACTCTCAGTAGCTTGCCGGGCTCTCCAAGAGGGGCGGAGGAATCGAACTCGGGTCGGCCATGTTGGCCGCTTGTAAGGCGAACGCCCTACCTGCTGTGCTATCGCTCCAGCCCACATTCATGATGTCAACAAAATGTCTCAACTTTGAAACAACCTACAAACCACACTGAGACCTTGGCCATCCCTATTTGGAGGAACATAAAGAGCAGCGGTTCTGACTCTACCAAAGAGGGGCCAGAGGGGGGGGGGGGGTGGGCGGGGGGGGGGGGGGAGGGAAGCACTTGACTCCAAATAGGGGTCAGAGATCACATCAGCTTCGAGACCGGGCAGGCTGAAGGGGAGCAAGTCACAGTGGGGGATCGAGAGACACTCTGTCTGACAGGGCCATAAGAAATGAAGTACAAAAGTCACAACAGAGGACACTAAAACAGTGTTCTAACCCTGCTGACGGGGAGAGGGATAGAAAGGTTCGGGGAGAGGGATAGAAAGGTTCGACGTGAGCTAAATCCTCACTGGTCACACAGCCTTGAGGCATACACTTAAAAAAAAATCAATAACCAGCAATAAAGCAGATTTTTATCTAAGGAAAAGAAAATAATCATTGAAATTTTTTTGTTTTGGGTCTTACCCAGTGATACTCAGGGATTACTTCTAGTGGTGCTCAGGGGACTCTATGGGATGTCGGGGATTGAGTGCTCACTGGCCAAGTGCAATGCAAGAACCCTACCCGTTGTACTATCACTCAGTAGTACAACTTTGTTTTGGGGCCACACCTGGCTGTGCTCAGGACTGACTCCTGGCTCTGTGCTCAGAGGTCTCTCCCGGTGGAGATCCAGAGGCTATGTGGGAAGCCGGGGCTCAAACCTGGGTTGGGTGCATGCAAGGCAAACATCCCCCCTGCTGTGCAATCACTCTAGAGTTCTGCTTCTCAAACCTGTGAGTCACAACCCCTATGGTGTCACAAAAGCACAAGAGGGGAGCTGTGAACAATTCTGTGACAGGAAATGATTTCTGAATGCACAATGAGCAAAGGTAATTTCAAAAGCAACTGCATAACGAGTGGAGGGATTTATGGCAGCTTGGACAGTGCTGTGTTTCCCATGTGGACACGAACTGTGAGTGGACAATGTTTAAGCCTGGTGCTCTTGGGGCCCGAGAATAGTACGCAGGGAAAGCACTTCCTCGTCTTGCATGCAGAAGACCCAGGTTGGATCCCCAGCACTGCACAGGGTTTCCCAACCCCCACCAGGAATGATGTCTGAGCACAGGGTCAAGAGTAAACCTGAGCACAGCTTGGCTACGGCCCCAAAACCAGAAGGCTAGGGGCCGGAGTGATAGTACAGGGCAGGGTATTTGCCTTTTACGCAGCCGACCTGGGTTCGATCCCTGGAATCCCCTAGGTTCCCCCAAGCACCCCCAGAAGTGATTCCTGAGTGCAGAGTCAGAGGTAAGACCTGTGCACCACTGGTGTGACCCAAAAAGTTAAGAAGTCAAAGGGGGAAAAAAACAAACCAACCCAAAAGTCTAGACAAAAGAAGGCTGTTCTAGGAGACTGGACAGGGCGAACAGGATTTAGATACGCAAGCCTCTCTCTATTAGTTGACTACTTAACCGTATACACAAGTTATTTAAGACAAGCTCCTGGGGCTGGAGCGATAGCACAGTGGGTAGGGCATTTGCCTTGCGCGCAGCCAACATGGCCAACACAGGTTCAATTCCCAGCATCCCATATGGTCCCCCGAGCACCGCCAGGAGCAATTCCTGAGTGCATGAGCCAGGAGTAACCCCTGAGCGCCGCTGGGTGTATCCCAAAAAGCAAAAAAAAAAAAGACAGGCTCCAGCAGGCAGTGCCAGTATGGCCATAAACTACTCAAGTTATTTTAAGGAAAACCAAAAAGTATCTTCTCCGTGTGACTTCCTCCTGTATTTGTACTACAAGGGAATTAATTGTAAAGTTATTCCAAGACAGTAAGTTAGACTTCCGAGGCCTGCCTAGAGACCCTAAAGCCCAGAATAGCTCACCCTAAAGGCCGTAAGAGCCGCGTGCTTATGGCAGGCATCCTGCAGCCCCAGAGAATGAGGGGTCCGCGTCTAGTGTACACGGCGCAGGTTCATGCCAAGCCAGGAGCTTAAGGGGACGCTCCCCTGCTGTAGTCTCCCAGCAGCGCTGGCGCCAGACGCTCCGCAGGTCCAGCTCCTCACCCAGGCCTGGCCTTGGAAGAGTCCACATGCAAGAGGGGAAGTGGGTGCTCACATGCACATGGGCCTTTGCGGAGTCAAAGTATTTGTGATGTGTCACAAGTTGGTTTGATCTACAAGCTTCTTTCTGACTCAAAGACAGGACATTAAATAGAACATGGCAGGACAAGCTCTCCTACGCGCCAAGGCATTCTCCTGCCAGAGGGCGAGTCCACAAATGCTTCCACAAGCTCTGGATGAGACCTCACACAACAGAAGGGCTCCGTGGCCCGGCGGAGCTAAACCTGACACCACGTTCATCCAACACAAAGCACTGGCCTCTTAGAAGGGACTCCTTCCCACCTCTTTCCCCCTCCTGGTATCATGCATTTTAGTGGATATATAGACCTAAAAATGTCTGCTGCTCACTCTGGCACCTGAAAATGGGAAGGAAATTGAGTAAGCCCCCCCCTTTTTTTTCTCAAAATACCATTGGCTGTGTGACTTTGCTGGAGCGATAGCACAGCGGGTAGGGCGTTTGCCTTACAAGCGGCCAACATGGCCGACCCGAGTTCGATTCCTCCGCCCCTCTCGGAGAGCCCGGCAAGCTGCCGAGAGTATTGGATATGCCAGACACAGTAACAACAAAGTCTCCAATGGAGACGTTATTGGGCCCGCTCGAGCAAATTTGATATTGTATCCCATAAATAAAACCCTTCAAAGCAAAATAAACAAACAAACCAAAAAACAAACCAAGCACTGGTCTCGACTACCACAGAGCTGTCCACAGTCAGCAACCCATTAGTGGGACGTCGGCAAACCCGGGTCTTAACTGCACAGTTCTAAGTGCTCAGAAAGGCCATTGCGTGAAAGTGACGAGAAAAATTTACCTGATCACTCTGTCGAGCTAGGATACCAACTTCTGTTGACGCCGCAGAAGCTGCCAGCACTAAATCCCTTCAAGGAGTAAAACCAGACAGACCATTAAGTCCAAACAGCAGCAGTTTCCACCTGACCAGCGCTGGGTCACTGACATCTCCGGGGAGCTCACAAGATGTCACAGAGGAAAGATACAGGGATTTTAGATACAAAGCCTCGCCTTTGAATTCACAGGATCAAGTCCTGAAGACTCAGTCAATTGCCTATCTACTTCAGACAAGGAGAATTACAACGGGATCAAGCCAGAGTTCTGGTGCAGTAGCACTGTGCATGCAAATAAAATCACCCAGACGACAAGGCTTTGCGTCCGATAATCCGCCTGCAGTGCCTGCTCTCAGCAGCAGCACCCAGGGAGTCCCTTAAACAGTATCTCACAGGTCAGCAGGGGGCTCAGCAAATGGGCTTCTTAGTATCAGGGTGCACCTGGGTGAAATAATTTCAACACTGGGGAAATAAACGCAGCGGCAGGCGGGCATATCGGGCACAGGAGCTGCAAATACGCGCAGTGCATGTCAGGAGGCTCTTCTCCTCTCCGAGAAACGCTTTCCGAGCAGCACTCGGCACTCGTGCGCATAACTGAGGAAGGAATGAATAGTGCAGCGGGGGCCAGGTGGGCACTCACCACTCCTCCACGTAACTGAGGAAGTAATGGTGCTGTCTCTCCGTGCAGCTGCCATAGCACGGCTCCATGAAGTTCACGAATATCTCGGGGTGCTTCTCTTCTTTTTTCTGAAAGAACAGAGAAAACGTCTCCTGATTGATCTTTAAATCTAAAGATCTCAAAAGATAAAAGCAGTTCTATTTTGGGAGGAATGCACTCAGAAAACCTACATCCAAACATACAGATGGGAGAGGAAGGCGCATGGAGTAGTGTAGGGACATCACAACCGCTGCTCTGCCCGCAGCTGACCCCGACCTCTCCTGTCCCTTTCTGCGTGAGGGCAAACACAGACAACGCCATTCTTGGGATCTTCCCTTTCTCACATTTGAGATGAATGAATGTTCAAAGAAGGACTGTTTAAGACTGACACGTGGGGGCTGGAGCGATAGTACAGTGGGCAGGGTATTTGCCTTGCATGCGGCCGACCCCGGTCCGATCCCTGGCATCCCATACTGCCAGGAGTAATTCCTGAGTGCAGAGCCAGGAGTAACCCTTGAGTATGGCAGGGTGTGACCCAAAAAGTCAAAACATAATAATAATATACAAAATTTTTTAAAAATTAAAAAATTTTCAGTGGACTATGGACTGAACATGTTTGCCACTCAATGCCTCTTTTGCAGACCACAACACCCAAAAGGAGAGAGAGAACACAGGGGATTGCCCTGCCACAGAGCAGGGGGGGATGGGGGGATGGGGGTGGGGGGGACATTATCCATGGTGGTGGAAAATGGGCACTGGTGGAGGGATAGGTATCTGATCATTGTATAATTGAAACCTAAGCACAAAAATTGTAAATCTACAACTGTACCTCATGGTGTTTCACTAATAAAAAAAAAAAATTAAAAAATTTTCTCTGATCCTTTGAAATCCCTTGATTTAGAAACTCTTAATTACTTCTTTCAGGGCCACTGCATGCAGTAACACTACCAATCTTATTATTCCACTGTAATTCTACCCGGCTTGTTATCACTGTTCTCCTCCCAGTCACCCTCTCGGCGCTCTACTCCACTCCTTGCTCCCAGGGCCCCCTCAGAGACCTGCCCTAATCACAGTGTGCATCTAACCAGCCCCCAGCAACCCTCCTTCCCAGACTCCCAGTCTCTCCACCACCCTCAATGCCCCTGACCCCACATGTGCTGAGTGGCCAACTCAAAATGCAAACAGTGGTCACCGCTGAGCTCACAGGTTAGCGGGGGTTGGCATACTGTACGCCTTTGTACGTCCAGGGGAATAAACAGGCTAATCCTTCCCGTCCCTGCTGCGATAACCAGAAATCACACAAGCCTGTTTGCAGGGCTTTACACACACAGCCACAGGGAGTTGCACACTTCCACCTGCGTCACCTGTGCCCATCAGGGGTCAAACTCCAGCTCACATGCGGTGCTCGCCTGGGGCTGCACGCTGGCTGCAATGCACAGAGGTCGCACGCTTTGCCACAGCATCAGGACCTCACTCGGCACATTGGGAAGCCCCAGTGTCACCCTTGCAAGGAGGGCACTTTCGCAATCAAGCCACACCCAGGACTCTGAAAGAATTTTCTAAATCTAGTTTTTTGTTTTCCTAGAACTTCTTTATTGAGTTAACATCAATGAAGACTCGGTTCAGAGCTGAAACTAAACCAAATTTTCTAATAGTTCAGCTTGTGACAAGACAGTGAAACTGCTCCAAGTGAACACGGGCATCCTGGTCCCTGGGTGCAGAACACAGCAGTGAACCTGCAGACCTACGGAGCCAGCGGAGGAGGAAACGGAAGCTGGAACCCCAGCCTGAGACTTTCGTCTGTGTCACAGCACACAGCTCTCCCTTCACCGACGTACATACCGGGAGCAGCGCCATCACCACATCCGGAGCCGTCTCCAAGGTGCCGTCTGCAGCGGCGTAGACAATCGTGAACACGTAGGTGCCGATCCACAGCACATCCAGGACTGAAAGACAACACAGCCCGCCAAGCAGCCCAGCTGCAGCAGCTCTGCCATGCCACCAAACTGATACCCCCAGAGGAACATTCAAACTATCCTATACTCAAGCTTTAACAATGGTCCAGATCGCATAGACTAGATATAACCCACAGATACAGACTTGAAAAACCTGAATTTAACCCAAGGTAGTATTTTCTTCTGGTGGATTACCAGCAGGGCAAATCAAAGAATTCTAATAAAAGATGTGGGTTTGCCATGCGAGCAGAGGGTCACCGCTACACTGACTTCACTACAGCATTCACATAGGCTCCAACACTGCCCCAGCAGATATGAGACACATCCTGGGATTCAAAACTCTGGAATACCGTCTGGTGCCTAACTAAAGCTCAGTCCACTGCGAAAGACAGACATGTTACCTCGCACAGGATGATCGGCCTCATAAAACGGAGGACAAGGAATGACTTTTTTTTCCTGCAGAGTCTGAAAGAGATTTGAAAATAAAGAAAAAGAAAGTGTCAATGGAACAATCCAGAAAGCTGGGAAACAGTGCTCAATACTTCTACAGTACTCATTAACGGCACCCGAGACTTCCCAACCAATCAGAGCAGGCTGGTATTGCCTCTGATGTTGGTGTTCAGGAGACTGCGTGGTGTGTGCGACCCGGGATGGCGGCGTCCTGGCCTCCTGAGCCAGCGCCCTCACCCTGCAGGCTTGGTTTCACAGTTTGTGCTTTTGTGGGGACCACATTCTGCAATGCCTTGGGATATTGCGGTGCCAGGGATCCAGAGTCACGTGGGGTCAAACCCAGAGCCTCGCACTTGCCAGGCCTGTGGGTTCTACTTCCCAAGCCACATTCCTGGTCGCAAATTACAGCAAACAGAAATGTTCTGTTTGGAGGTCACAAGAGAAAGCTGGATTTGTCTATGTTCCAGAAAACTTTGAAGGCTACCACTAAAAAGAACATAGAACACAGGGCATGTCTCTGGGAGAAGGATGAGACTGAAGGGAAAAGTCCCACTCTTTGCTCTAAGTCACATGTGGACCAATCAACTTACTGCAATGAGCATGAATTACAACTTAATAGAGAAAACACTGGGGCTGAAGTATATAGTACAGCAGGTAGGGTGTTCAACCCGGGTTTGATCCCCAGCATCCCACGGGGTCCCCCAAGCACCATCGGAGTAATTCCTGAGTGCAGAGTCAGGAATGACCCCTGAGCATCGTCAGGTGTAACCCAAAGAGCAAAAAAAAGAGAAAACACCAAAAACTTATCAAACCACAGCAAATATTGCATAGTTTCAGTAAGAACAAAAAGACTTGACGTTTTTAGGGCAACACTCACAGGAAGGTACTGGACCACAGTTCCGTTCTGCTTCCCCACTGCCAGCTGCTTTCCTTTGGGGCTCCAACACACTGGGCAGAGAAGAGAGGAGAACCGATTCAAGAGGAAGGAAGGGGCAGAGCAGAGAGCCCTAAACCAGCACCGCAAGCAGCACCCTGATCCCACCTCAGTCCTCGGATGGCTACCTGCAGTACTAACCTCGCTCAGAAAAAAAAATAAATAAGTCATTATTAACTGAATTATTGACTTGATAGCTAAAATTACCTTTACAATGGGATAGTGCCCAGAAAGCTAAAGACTTCTGAAGTTTTTATTTTTATTTATTTTTTTGGCTTTTTTTGGGTCACACCCGGCAATGCTCAGGGGTTACTCCCGGCTTTGCACTCAGGAATCACTCCTGGCGGTGCTCGGGGGACCATATGGGATACTGGGAATCGAACCCAGGTGGGCCGCGTGCGAGGCAAATGCCCTACCCGCTGTGCTACTGCTCAAGTCCCAAGACTTCTGAAGTTTTTAGATAGGAGATTTACAAATTCAAAAATAAAAAAGTTCTCTGCTATTTCCAATGCTTTCTGGCTGAAAGGACAAATGACTTTCAGAGTAAGATTCTTCTAAGTCCAAAACATTTGTTCCCTAAAACAGTTATAAACCACCTACCCAAAATCTTTTTCTCCAAGGTCAGAGTGATAGAACAGCAGGTAGGGTGCTTGCCTTGCATATGGCCTACCAGGGCACTCCCCAAGCCCCACCAGGAATGATTCTTGAGCAAGAAGTGATTCCTGAGCACCACTGGGTGTGCCCTGCCTTTTTGGCACCCCAGAAGACTTTTCTCCAGAAAACCCAAGTGCATCTGAGGTCTATTATGCAGGCTGTCTAGCTCCAACGACACATGCTATGGAAGACATCAGAGCATTTTCCCCGCCCTTCTACCGAACAGCAGCAAATAATATTTAAAAATATCTATCCTTTATTTCCAAAACCACGGTTTGAATCAATCCCCACAACTGTATAATCGGCACCGAGTCCTTATTACTCACCGGAGGTCACCGCCACCGTGGAAGGGAGCGTCGCACACACTTTGACAACATCCGTGACCTGCAGCACAGCGATGCTGCCGTCAGCCAGACACACGGCCGCCATGGAGGGGACAGTGGGGTTCCACTTCATATCCAGCACCATGCCGCCCGCATCCTTCTGAAGCTTGTGATAGGCAAAAGGGCGTTTCTGCGGTTTTGTCTTTCAAAATAAAAGCCCAGAAGAAAAAACAAATAAGTCATAAGTACAGGCATCATCAGAGAAAACTACTGAACGCGCTTCCTCAAATCACAGTTCCCTTCTCTCTACAGCCACAAAGAAAGATTTTTGCTCTACACACCACCCTGTGTGTTACAATTTCAAAATGACTTTAAGACACGATGAACCTAGCACTTGGAGGGATTGCAAGCAGGGGAATACAAAGACTCGAGAAACTCGAGCAGACCCTAGATTAGAACAGTGCTGGGGCCTCAGGCAATTATTTAAACTCTTTGGGTCTGTTTCTGTGGCTATAAAAAAAGATGTAAAGCCATAGGTGCTGTGAACTAGGACAATGCATGCCTGACATTAGTGTACAGGGCAGAGCACAGGGTCAGTATAAAACTCAGTATTATGGAATACGACGGTTACTCAAAAAACGAGAATGAGAAGAGCAAATCAGGTCACTGAGCCAGAAGCAGGAACCCTCACCCACCATGACCTACTGACCCCATGGCCATGAGTTGCCACCTAAGTGACAACTGGCCGTGTCACAAGTAAGAGGGAAACGGTCACACCTTAGGGTTGATGGTGCAATGAAACAATTTCTAGTTATTACTGCGGGTCATTAATTAGGAAGTCCCATTTAGCTCAAAGATCTATGCGTCTGTAATTAAGTATAGTCTGCAGCCTATTATTTTACTCTAGAAAAAGGTTTCTAGGGTCAACAAGAACTCCTAGGTTATGATTCAACAGCAGACACGATGAGACTCCAGTTGACCCTACAGTTCGTCAGCGGCTTACCTCGTTTGAGAATGTGCGGACATCAAAGAAAGCAATAATGGAACCAAGTTCACTGGACATCATGCACACGGAGAGCGTGAGGCTGTCGCAGCTCAGAGCCAGGTGATGGATCGGGAACTTCATGGGAACGAGCAAGCTCTGCACTTGGTCAACTGCGAAAACAGAAAGGCACAGCTGAAAACGGGCGCTGTGTACGCCCGAACCACAACCCTTTCTCCCCCTCTACGTGGAGTAACTTCTGCCTGTCTAAAATCATACACATACACCTTCGTGCCTGGTTTCGCAAGAGATCTTCCCTTTCCTACAGACGTGTGGTGACGCAGTAGTATCAGAACAACTCAGCCTCACAGCCTAGAGAAACCAAGCACGGCCCGTCCCCTAGTGGAAAACAAGTACCAAGGGCTGGAGAATTAGCACAGGAAGCACCTGCCTTACACGTGGCAGCGGCCACGTTCCCTAAGCAGAGCAGGAGCAGCTTCTGAGCACCACCAAATGTGGCCCCCAAATCCAAATGTCCCCCACCCATTTTCCTACCCACTCCAAACAGTACGCATTCCCACCTGTTTGAGAGGTACTGACTGCCCATGAAGAAGCTATACAACAAAATCCTGGTCCTAGAGAGCTAAACCCAAGTTCAACTGTGGAAAAATAAATGTCTGATACAGCAATAAATTCTGCCTCTTCCCAAGCTCAGAGCTAAGACAGTTACTGGGAGGCAATACAACAGATCGAAAAGAACACTTCAGAAGCTTTTGGTATCCTACTGAAATTTCTTCTTGTGGGCCAACCTGAGGACAAATAGGAGTTTTGATTTGTTTATTTTGTTTTGGGGCCACATTTGATGTGCTCAGGGGACCAAAGAAGGCCAGGACTGAACCTAGGCCACTTAGGTTCAGAACATGAGGAGAACTTACTGGGTAATCATACCAACCAGGAGTTTTAAATCTCAATAGTGGAATTATTTCTTGAGAAAGAAATTACACAAGCACTTCACTATGCTCTATCTCATTCTCTGTCTCTCTCAGTGGCGGGGGTGGGTCTACTCCCGGTTCTGTACTCCTGGCAGTACTCAGGGATGCCAGGAATCAAACCTGGGTTGCCCAGGTGCAAAGGAAGCTCCCTCCCACTGTGTATCTCTCCAGTATCCATCTTTCTAGCATAGATCTACACAACATACATCTCTGAACTTGATCGACTATGATTACGTTAAAAAAAAAGAAAGAAAGAAAACACAACTTACTTATCTTATTGGGATCATCTCCAGGTTTATTCTGAATGAGAAGATTTTTGGTAGGAAAGATCTGCAGCCCACTGGCTCCGCCAGCGAAGACCATCCCGTACTTGTTGGACACTGCGAGCAGGCTCGAGCGCTCCCGCGGCAGATCCTCAGGGGAGTCGAAGATTCTCACCTTCTTCAGAGCTCGAAACTGAAAGTCCTGTCGTGAAGAATCCAAACGAGGAGATCAGCTCATGACTGTCATTAGATTTCGGTGCAATAACAAAACATTATCACCAAAGCCAAGGATGGCAGCTGTCTCGTTTTTTTATTCGGTTTTGGTTTTGGATCACTCCTAGTGATGCTCAGGGCTTACTCCTGGCTCTGTGCTAAGATCTCTGTTTCTCAAGATTCAACAGCAGAAAATAATAGCCTTTACCAAGGTTCCAGGTACCAAATGCGACGCAGGGGCCTGAACCTGGGTCAGCTGCACGCACAGAAGGCGCCTTCATCTCTGCACTATCTCTGGCCCACGGGGAGTTTTTCAGCTTGTGTGCATATTGTGATGCCTGTCACAGGACGTTGACATACTGGACGAAATAAACATCACTGACACTTTCCTCCGCTGGCTCAGCTCGCACTGACCTTTACCTCTTCTCAATTCCCAGGCTACTTATCGCCCAAACCACGACACAGGCTGTCCTTCACTCTTCAAAATCTTGTCCTGTGTGCTGTCTCCTGACCCTGAGCCATGGCTCATAAATCATGGAGGTGCTGGGGAGCTGCTGGCTCAGTGAATCAGGAGAACTCAGCATGCGCCAGGACCCAGGTACCAATCCCAGCACCATCAAAAGAGGCACTTTATTAGTATGGTTGTTAAGTCTTACTTCTAAAAATTAACTTATTTTTATTAAAGCACTGTCATTTATAAAATTATTCATGAATTTCAGGCATACAATGTTCCGACACCAAACAGTTCATCAGTATCCACTTCCCTGTATGTGGCTCATAAGGGCTCAGAATACTACTTGAGTGGCCCTGGTGGTCCCTAGCACCACGGGGCCTGAGCAGCTCACAGCTACAGTCCTAGTATTGAGCTGACTGGCACAGCTGACCAGTGTCTCCAGAAGTGGCTCTTGGCACCTGAGCATGACCTGAGAAGCCCCAAATAAAATAGTTAAGTGGCAGGGGTGAAGCCCTGGAAACGACAGCACACAGCCTAAACCATCACACACCCAAAAACTTGTAACTGGAGGGTACCATTTTCAGTGAAGTCAGAGGGAGAAGGACAAACTCCACACAGTCACTGACCTACACGTGACAGAGTGACAAAACAAGCAAACAAAAGGGGCAGAGAGAAGTAGGAGACAAGTTAGTGGTAACACAGTGGCACTGGCCAAGGGTCAGAACATTTCTATGACTAAGTGGTGAAGTAACTATGTACATCAAACCATTAAGAGTCAATATTACTGAAAAACACATGATCGAAATAATAAGCACATTGAAAAACAAAATGAGGGGGTCGGAGTGATAGTACAGCGGGTAGGACGTTTGCCTTGCACGTGGCTGACCTGGGTTCAATTCCCAACATCCCATATGGTCCCCCAAGCACTGCCAGGAGTGATTCCTGAGCGCAGAGCCAGGAGCAACCCCGAGTATAGCTGGGTGTGACCCCAAAAGCAAAATAAATCTTTAAAAAAAAATGAATTAGCTTTGGGGCTGGAGCGATGGCACAGCGGGTAGGGCGTTTGCCTTGCACGCGGCTGACCCGGGTTCGGTTCCCAGCATCCCATATGGCCCCCTGAGCAACGCCAGGGCTAATTCCTGAGTGCAGAGCCAAGAGTAACCCCTGTGCATCGCCAGGTGTGATCCAAAAAGAAAAAAAAAAAGAATTAGCTTAGATGGGGCAGATCACGGATGGAGGGATGCTGACAAGGGTGCTGGACTTGGAGTTGGAACAATGAGTCCCCGAAACTGTTCGTAAAAGCTTTGCAAGTGGGATCAGTGCTGGAACAATATGTATCTAAAACCCAACTCTCAACAACTCTGTAGATCACAGTACTTTAGTTAATAAAAATTTAAAATAAATGAAAGCTCTGTAGGGGCCGGTGAGATTGTACAGCAGGTAGGCACCTGCCCTGCATGCAGCCGAGCTGGGTTCGATCCCTCTACCCCATATGGTCCCAAGTACCAACAGAAGCTAGGAGCATACAGAACTGGACATGAGCCCTGAGGAGCGCCAGGCATGGCCCCAAAGCCAAAAATTAAATAAACATAAATATAAGCACTGTAAACCTCGGTACCTACACAAAAAAATTTAAAAGCAGGGGTAAGGATGTGGCTCAACATATGGCTTATGGGGCTGGAGAGATAGCACAGTGGGTATGGCGTTTGCCTTGCATGTGGCTGACCCGGGTTCGATTCCCAGCATCCCATATGGTCCCCTGATCACCGCCAGGAGTAACTCCTGAGTGCAGAGCCAGGAGGAACCCCTGTGCATCGCCAGGTGTGACCCAAAAAGGAAAAAAAAAAAGCTTATAAAGCTTCATTTCTTCTTGATCTGTGGGCTGTAAACTCATGTAAACTGAATGTGGAGATCACCAAAAAGTTCGGCAAGAGCAAAAGGTTTCTCAATGGTAAAACCAAACTTCAATTCAAATTCAAGTCACGAATCCGAAGTGCGTCTGGCAGTGCTCAACCCCACTTGCATTTCTCAGGAGAAGAAGGCCGGACATGAGAAAGAGCTCAGCTATACTCTACCTGCCCTATGTGAAGGTCACACTTGATCCCAGCTTTATAAATGAATCAACCAAAACTGTCTTGTAAGCATCAGCTTCCCCAGTAAGCTCCAGCTTCCCGTGCGGCACGCAAACCACAAACCGACTCACCTGCAGCAAACACTAAGATACCATTGCAGGTGAGGGTAGCGGTCTCAGTGTTCAAACCCTTAGCGTGCCTGGAAGCTAGGGCGGCTGAACTGAAGCACAAAACCCTCAACACCCCAACACAGGCACGCCGAGAGTCTTCCTGTCCAGGCTCTGCCACAGACCTGGTTTCCGCCACCCTCCACCACTTCCAGTCCTCGCTGCCTTGCTGACCTGGGGCCTTCCCCAGCTCCTATCCATGCTGACCCACCTGTCTGCGGCCACCAATGTCCGTGATTTCAGAGACAGCTGTCACTGCGGACCGCCTCTTGCTCTAAGAGCCCCAGAAACAGGCACCAACCACAGGTGAGGGCAGAACGCACCTGGCTTACTTTTTCAGCTGTGTAAGGTTATTTCGGGGGACACGGGTAAAGGGTTTGGGTCGCACCCAACAGTGCTCTGGGGGGGAATTATTGCTGGAGACCAAATGGAGGAGGGAAAGATCAGGCAAAGCACGTGCCTCAGTGCCTTGAATTAGTTCCCAGCTTCCTCTTCAACCCTCAACAAATCTTTAAATGGGGATTTTGGTGACAAGAATATGAATCCGCTGTGTGCCTCCAGTCCCACGGGGCTTTCAAGCCCCGGGCAGTCCTGCTCAAGTGTCTGTTCCCATGCCAAGGATCCCATAGACATGCACAGCATGTTCTCGGCCACGGAGGGTCCTGCCAGTCTTTCGGCCTCTGGGTTCTCCGGAGCGTGCACGAAAGAAAGCAGCTTTATTATCCAGGGCATGTGAAAAAGGAGGGCGAGGGGCAGCGAGTGAATCAGCCCCCAGGCTGGGCCAGGCGGCTCCTTCTCAGCTTTGACTCGCGACATGCACACGCTGCAGTTCCCGCGCGGCTGGAGGTGGAACCCAGACTCGCTCTCAGCAGGGACCCATCCCGGGTCCGACTCGCCCGGCTCCGAGTGTCTCCGAGACCCGCGACTGACTTTCTCGGCGTTTAACACCAGGGAGCCAGAAGCTGGAGAAGGCAGTCGGGTCGCCCAGCGGGGCGTCCCCGGGACACGCACCCCGTGCCCCGGGGGTCCGTCCACCGCCCGCACCGCCGGGAGTGCCCCAAGCCCAAGGGCGGGGGAAAGGCGGCGCTCCCGGCTCCCCACCCGCACGGGCAGCGCCCCCAGGGCTGGGACCCGGGAGCCCCCACGCGCGCCAGGGGGCGCGGCCCGCGCGGCCAGCCCGGAGCGCGGCAACTGCTCGAGCAGGAGGCGGGGCGGGCGACGCCACCGACGGAGGCGGGGCCCGCGGCGGCTCACCTTCATCTCCCGCTCGGGGATCATGGCGTCCATCTCGTCTCCCATCGCGCCGCCCGCGGGGGCTGGAAGCGGCCGCCGCTGCCGCCTCGCAACCGACCCCACACGCTGGAGGCCGTTCCGAGGCCAACTTCCTCCGCTCAGGCCCCGCGGCGCGCCGCGCGGGGCGCACTTCCGGCGCGCCGGAGTGACGTCACGCGCCCCCGCTCCGCGCGGAGCCCGAGGAGGCCACGGGGGACCTTCGGAAGTCGCGCGCTTTCCTGCCCGCGGCTTCCCATTGGTCGGGGGCAGGGGGCGTGGCTCGGAGGCGCGCGCGCCCGCGCCCCCGGCTCAGCCGGGCCCCGCCTCCGGCCCCGCGCGCGTCCGTTTCTTTCGCTGGGTTCCGAGCGTCTGAGACTGGACCTGGAGTCTGCAGGGACCGGCGATGCTGAGCGCTTCGGCCTGCACGCCCTGCACCGAGCACAGCCCCACTAAACCTCGAGCACCGTGGCGTGTGGTCCCCCAAACGCCAAAGTCAATTTTGGGGTATAGGAGATTATTCAGTTGTTAGAAATTTAACATATTTCAGGAGGTTACGCTTAGGAGGAAACGTGCATAGGAAACGAGACTCAGAAAATGAGTAGGGTGGGGCCTCTCCATGGGAGACCCGAGTCTGCAAGCCAGAGGCTCAGAGTTTTCTGTTTCCTCCCATCAAGGTAATTATTATCCGAACACTAGCCTAGAAGTCGAACAGAACATTTCAGATGGGTTTTCTTTTTTTTTTCTTTCACAAACTCACAAATCATCCTGTTAATCGTGGATTGCCTCCAGCAGGCCCCAGTAACGTCTCCTTCATCCTAGCCCTGAGATTATATTCAAGGCTCTTTCGGAGAATGAGACCCATCATTGTTACTGGTATTTGGCATATTGGGTACGACACAGGGAGTTTGTTTAAAAAAAAAATTTTGGCCACACCTGGCAGGCCTCGGGTTACTCCTTAGCTCTGTACTCAGGAATTATGCTGGGGGGGGGGGGGCACCATATGGGGTGCGGGGAATTGAACCTATGTTGACCACGTGCAACGCTACTTGTTTTACCATCGCTCTGGCCCCTGGTTAATTTTCATGACATCCTAATCATCTCGGAGAGCCCGGCAAGCTACCGAGAGTATTCGATATGCCAGACACAGTAACAACAAAGTCTCCAATGGAGACGTTACTGGGCCCGCTCGAGCAAATCGACGATCAACGGGAGGGCCTTTACCTTTACCTAATCATCTAGGAATTATTAGTGCCATTTTGTTGGTGAAGCAACTAAAGCACAGAAAATCCCCAGCAGCCCCGAATGTAGCTCAGTGGTAGAACCCTTTTGCTTACATGAGACCCCTAAGTTCCATTTCCCACACCACAGAACAAAGAGAAAGAAAAATGGGGGCGGGGTGTTAAAGAGATAGACCAATGTGGAGAGCAGCGGGAAATCCCCAATGCCTCTCAGGCAGAAAGTGCTGGGCTCTTAGGCCCATTTCAATCCCTGGCACTCCATTTGGCACCCTGCACCCACCAGGAATCATCCCTGCGTGATCCAAGAGTAAGCCATGAGCACCACCAGGAAATGAACCTCCCAAAACACCAAGCAGTGGGATCAGGATTAGAATCCGCCTGTCCAACTTTTGGTGGCAGATTATCTCGGTGCGTCTAAAATTCCCTGTTGTGGGTTAGTATAAGATGTTCTAGAATAGGAGTTTTCCCTCGGAGTCAGTGTGTCAGCCAGAGAGGAAGCACGTTATTTGGGACAGGGGCCATACCTGGCAGTGCTCAGGGATCATTCCTGGCAGAGCTCTAGGACTGTAAGATCAAGCCATAGAGTCCAGGGATCAAAGATTGGCCGCTTGCAAAGAGTCTCTGCCCACTGGACTACCATCCCAGCCCTGAGAATAGGGATATTCTGCCTGACTTTTTTTTTTTTGGCTTTTTGGGTCATATCTGGCGATGCACAGGGGTTACTCCTGGCTTATGCACTCAGGAATTACTCCTGACGGTGCTCAGGGGACCATATGGGATGTTGGGGATTGAACCCGGGTCAGCCGCGTGCAAGGCAAACCCCCGTCCTATCACTCCAGACCCTTCTGTCTTATTTTCTGCAAATCCTTTGTCTGCTCCAAACCTCTCATTTAGAAATCAAAGATGAGGGGCTGGAGAGATACATTACATGCTACCACCCTGGTTCAACCCCTGGCACCCCATATGGTCCCCTGAGCCCCACCAGGAGTAAATCCTGAGTGCAGAGCCAGGAGTAAGCCCTGAGCATTGTCAAATGTGGCCCAAAACTCAAAAAGAAAGTGAAAACTTCAGGAATGACATAAAAGCTTGTCTCAGAGAGGTATTGTCAGGAAGAAAGGAAGTTGTTTCCGCACGGCCCAATGTGTAGAAATTTCTCTTACTCTATTGACTCCTTTGAAATTCCTGAGCCTGGGAACTGTCCCCCCAAAGACCAATCAAAACACAGATGAAGATTCTTTATTTCGTCTGCAGATTCCATCCCACACATCGCGCTGGCATCCATGCGACCACGCATCCACCAGCCTCTGAAACTTACCCACCACGCTCCCCTCCTGTGAGTGGGGGGGTGGGGGGTCAAAGCCGTACTTGGTAACCTCCAAATGGTTGGTTGCTGGAGTTAGATTTGGTCTCTGAGAGAAATTCAGCTTCAGGGTTGGAAAAGAGCCCTCAGATAAATCAGGGGTTTGGACAGTAGCCACAGTCCAAAACGCACCCAGACCCACCCTCGCTACTTCCCCAGGGCCCAAGCTCCCTCCCGGGGCTGAGTTCCAACATATGGTCTGGAGGTGGAAGGGCACCAGCTTGGACCAATCATGCTCTTCCCTGCCCTTCCCAGAGGCCGAGGACACGCCCACTCGCTCTCCAGATCGGAGTCTCCTCTTGAACCCTCAGAAATAAAGCTAGCTTCTGTTCTGCCATGAGCGAGGAACGGGTCGGCTCCATCAGTCACCCGCAAGGACCAGCCTTCCTCAACGGTCTTAGCCTGTTCCAGAAAGAGGGGCCATGGGAAAACAGGATGGAGAAGCATTTATTTGCTCATCTGATGATGTCAGGGAAGAAAGGAGTTTTTTTTTTTTAAAAAAAAAGAGAAAAAGGGCAGGTGAGTTTTGACATTTACAGAGAGGAATGTTTTGCTGGGGTTTAAACATCAACGAGGGGTGTATGACTGAAGCAGCTCCTGAGACCCAGCCAGGCATGGCCAAATAATCTTGCTCGGAGACAGGCTGAGACCAACTGAGGAATCCCCCCACCCCACCTCTCCCTGCTCCCCCTGCAGCGGCCCAGAGCAGCATCTGGTGAGGGCAGCTCCCTTGTCCCAGGAATCCAGTGTCCAACAGCCTCCAAACCTGTTTACCAGAGGTATGCCTCGGGCTCTGCGAGGCCCCTGGGAATGCCAAGCTAGCACCCCCTTGTCCCCATCTTTCCTATCCATCACCATGCTGGTCATCACCCATGCCTGACTTCCTCCAACACTCTGAATCCCACAAAACTGTCCACATCACTGCTGGTCCCTGGCCCGGAGCAGGAGCTCATCAATGAAGGGGGGTACGAAGCCCTGGGCTGGCAGAGGAAGGGTCTCCAGAGTGGGGCTGGGGGCTGAAGGGAGTCAAGGTGGAGTCCCACTGAGCCTTCCTAGGGCATTCTGCACTGTGGCCTGGCCAGGCAGCTCTGAAACCCAAAGGCAGGCCCCTCCATCCCCCAAACCCAAGGCTGACTCGAAGGCGCCCACCCCGCCCACCGTCCCTCGCTCTGGTGACAGACAGACGCGGCCCCCAGCACAGCAGTGGACAGGCCTGTGGGTGCCAGCTCCGGGCCAGCGCCCTCGCTCTCCTGATCAGCCCTGTCTCCCTGGGGGCCAGCCTGGCTTCTCACCTGGCCCTGCTTCCCTGTGGAGCGGGTCAGGGCGCTGAAGGCTCATGAGGCCCAAGAAAGGACAAAGCTGACCCCAATCCCGTTCCCAAACCGAGATAGGGAAGGACACAGCCTCGGTCAAGATAAAGCTGCGTGGAGAACTTAAAGCTTCTGGGAGGTGATGGAGAGACACAGGGTGGAATGAATGGATGGGTGAGCCAATGGTCACCGCGAGGTCGGAGGTCAAGGAAAGCGCCTCGTTCCCAGCTCCAGGCCTGACGGTCCAGCCCCTACGGCCACAGACTGCCCTCCTCTGCCTGCCCTGTCCTCAGCACCGCCCCGCAGAGGGTGTTTACCTGAGCAGATGCCCCTCCCTGGGATCCCCACCCTCAATGGCCAAAGTTGCCCCAGGAAGGGGATTGGGGAGGTGTCCTTGCCCGGAGATTCCTGGAAAGGTATGGTCAAAGGACTCCTTCTAGAACTTTCTTGAAGAGCTCAAATGGCCAAATCCCATCACCCCCTTCTCAGTCAGCTCACCAAGGATAAGGAGCGTGGCCTGAAGGGGCTCAGCTGGGACGTTGAGCGGCCATCCTGGACACCCCGGAACCACATAGCTGTCCAAGGAAATGCAAAGGCGTCCCCTCAGGCCCCCTCCAGCGCCTGAATACAGGATCCCCAGAGCAGACTGGCGAGCCTGCACTGAGCAGAGAGGCAGGCCCCACGCCCCAGCACGCCCACAGCCTCTGGCTTTTTGGTTTGCTGCAGCCCCTCTGCATGGAGGAGGGGAGAAGAAGGCACAAGGGAGGCAGGGGGGACCCCCAGGCACAGCCCGGGCTTCCTGCAAGGTGAAGAACTTGAGCTTTCCAAAGCGATCCCGGATTCTGCCAGGGAAGATGCAGTCACAGCAGCCACAGAAGCGACCAGACCCAGATGGGACAGGAGATGAGGAGGCAGTGGGGAGGAGGGCTGGGCAGGGGGCAGGGGCAGGGCCTGGCGGGGCTCCTCAGGGCAGGCTGGCAATGTCTCTCTCGGGAGGGGGCCCAATGGGCTTGGGGTCACTGTCGTTGGCTTTTCCTTCAAACATCATGACTCTGGATTGGAGAAACAGAAGAGCAGGATTAGGGCTCCCTCCCCGCTAGCCTGTCCCCTGCACCCCACAACCTGTCTCCTGAAGTCACATGACACACAAGGGTCCACTGCACAGAGAGAAACTGAGGCAGCCTCGGACGCCTCGGAGCCATCAACAGCTCTATTCCACCCCCACCAGATCCCACCCAAAAGGGGCACTACCAATGGGCCCCTCCGGAACAAGCTGTCCATTCGGTGTCCAGCTGCAAGTCCCAATAAACAACAGCACCCCAAAACCCTCAGGCTCACCTGCCTCAGGCCTCACCCGCCCTGTCTCTCCCATCCAGCCCCACCTGAGCATTCTAGCATCCCTCGGCCCTGCCCACCTCTGCGCGGTGCTCGAGGGCGCAAGCCTCCTGGCACCAGGACGCGGGGGGTCTCCCGCTCTCCCCCTCAGCCCCGGCCCGGCGAGGTTTGGTGCAGAGAGCCACCGGCTGGTGCTCTCGTGGAATGCAGTGCCGGGACGAATGAAGCACGTGCCCAGCCCTTGGGGCTACCTCCCCGGGCCGGCATTACTTTTGCTATTTTTCTAACAACAATTATACCCGGGTCCTGGATCTGAGCTGAGGAGGGGCTACCAGGGCCCCACCTGGGGGTGCTCGAGGGCCAGGCAGTACCTGGCTCAAACATGGGGCCCTGTGTTCTGGCTCTTGATCTCTGTTCTGGCTTGATCGTTCCAGCCCCAAGGGGGCTTTTGGAAACCCATCTCCAAGGGGCCAGGCATGTGGCTGGTGGCAAGATTGTCTGGGTTCAATTCCTCACAATTGAATCCAGAACCTCCACAGAAGTCAGCCCCTAGCTCAGGGCCCCTGTTCATCTGTTCACGTCGGAATAAAACTCTTAGTCCGGGGCTGGAGTGATAGTACTGCAGGGAGGGCGCCTGCCTCACACACGGCTGACCTGGGTTCAATACCCGGCACCCCTATGGTTCCTCAAGCTTGCCAGGAGTGATCCCTGAGTGCAGAAACAGGAGGAAGCCCTGAGCATCGCCAGGTGTGGCCCCGTTGTTCATCGATTTGCTCGAGCAGACCCAGTAACGTCTCTATTGTGAGACTTGTTGTTACTGTGTTTGGCATATCGAATACATCACGGGTAGCTTTGCCGTGCGGGTGAGATACTCTCGGTAGCTTGCCAGGCTCTCCGAGAGGGGCGGAAGAATCGAACCTGGGATCGACCAGGTCGGCCGAATGCAAGGCAAACGCCCTACCCGCTATGCTATCGCTCCAACCTAAACTGGAGTGATAGCACAGCGGTAGGGCATTTGCCTTGCGCGCAGCCGGCCGGCTGAGCCAGGTTCGATTCCTCCGCCCCTCTTGGAGAGCCCGCCAAGCTACCGAGAAACAAAACAAAACTTAAAAAAACTTAAGTCCATAGTTGGAGTGATAGTTGAGCAAATAGGGCGCTTGCCTTGCATGCGGCCGACCCAGGTTTGATCCCCAGCACCCTTATGGTCCCAAGCCCACCAGGAGTGATCCCTGAGCACAGTGGGGTGTGGTCCCAAAACAAAACAAAACAAAAACCCCTCAAAGTCCAGCTGTGCCCTCACCCATCTCTGCCATCTCCTTCCTTCACAGCCACCAGCCTCACCAGCCTGAGCCTGCTGGAGATGCCCAGCACTTCTCTGCCCCAGGGCCTTGGTACATGCCAATTGCTCTGCCCACGATGCCCTGCTCAGCAACTCGCACAGGTCAAATGTGGCTTCTCAGGGAAAGTCCCAGGCCACACACCCGCCGTTCCAGGCCTCTGGGTCTCTCCCCCCGCCACGTCCCACATGTGTCTCTCTCGGTCTCTCTCCCTCACATTGTTCTTTGTACCGCCACAGTCTTTTGTGGCTCTGATTTCTGGTTTTGGTTGGCGGGTTTCCATCATCATCCCCAACACCATCTTCATCACCGTCATCACATCACCACCTCCACCACCAACATCCTCAGCTGCACCTGCTGGGCTCACAGCCTGACCCCGCCTGCAGGAACGCACACACGAGACCCCCAGAGAGCAGGGAGCCAGCGCGGCCAGGGCAGGGCAGGGGCAGCCATGTGGGGAGGGACTCACAACTTGAGCACGGCCGACCGCTTCCCCAGCATCATGTTCACAAAGTCCCGGTAAGAAATGGTGTCGCTGCTGCCGCCCGTCACCTCCGCCATCATCTTCTTCATCTCCAGGTGGGTCCGGGGCACCCCCAGCTTCTCCATCATCCTCTTCAGAGACATCAGGTCTGTGGGGAAACGCAACGCATGGAGCGAGTTGCAGGCAGAGGGGGAGCTGACGGCGCCCCCACCCCCACCCCAACCCAGCCAAGGAAACCCTGCCCCACGCCTCCGCCCGCCCACCCCCAACAATGCTCCCTCTACACCGGGACAGGGAGCCCAGCACAGCCCCCATCTTTGCGGGGCAGTGCAGAACAGTGGTCAGTGCCCGGGGATTCCAACACGGGACAGAGCCGACCCAGCACTTCTGCTCTCGACTCATCCAGGCCCGACTGAAGCCCTGACCCCTCCAGCAATAAGTGAGGGCACGAGATCCCCGATGGGGGCTGCAGGAAGCGGGTGCTCCGGGAGAGGGGTGCTTCTCTCATCCTCTGCTGCTCCTGCAAATTGCGGGGAGCCATGGGGGGCAGCTCTGCGTCCAGGCGTTGAAAGTCACTCTCGAGTCCCAGGGCTGTGCCTCACAGGAAGCGGGAGGACCCCAAAAGATCCAACAAAGGAATAAAACTGAAGACAAGGGAGGCACCAAGGCACCCCGGGCCAGTGGGGCAGCCCTGGCACTCCCCGCGGCCGGCATCTGAAGCCACTTCCTTCAGATTGTTCGCTGAACAATGGGGTCACAAGGAGGGCGGGCGGGAGCAGGGCAGAGGGGCAAAGGCCGGCTTCGGGGGCGGGGAGCAGCTGCGTGCCAGCTCACCCAAGGGGCAGGGCGGGTAGAGCCGGGTGCCAGACCCCTAGGTGCCAGGATGTCCCGGGCATTTCAAAGAAAGCTGGGCAGCGTCTGCAAGAGGAAGCAAGACTCCTTTCTCTCTCCGCTGGCCAGACTCTAAATTGGCACGATTTTTGGAAGGACTTTTGGCAAGGCGCCTCCTAAGCCTTTGACCTAGAATGTCTAATTCCTGAGATTTACTCTTAAATGAAGATCATAAACCAGGTCGTGTATCATGAAATCCCCTTACAACTGGGCAGTCCCTCCAGGGGTGATGCCAAAGAAATGTCCAGCCGGTGATGGAATATTATGCAGATGTGAATTCTAGGGTAAGAGGGAAAAGCTGATGGTCCATCAGCGGGGAGGGCGCTTGCCTCGCACACGGCTGACCTGGTTTCAATCCACGGCACCCCACAGGGTCCCTGAGCCCTGCCAGAAGTGACCCCTGAGAGAGCCAGGGTTCAGTCTGAGCACTGTCAGGTGTGTGTGGTCCCCCAAACCAAAAAAAAGGAGGTGGAGGAGGAGGAGGAGGAGAAGGAGAAGAAGAGAAGGAGGAGGAGGAGGAGGAGGAGGAAGAAGAAGAAGAAGAAGAAGAAGAAGAAGAAGAAGAAGAAGAAGAAGAAGAAGAAGAAGAAGAAGAAGACGACAACGACGACAACACGATCAGGTTGCTTATGAGCAGAAAAAGAGCTTCTCTGAGAGCCAGGGTATGGACAAATGCTGTCAGTAGCAGCCTTAGGAAGGCCACTAAGGGTGGAATATCATTATTATTATTATTATTTTTTTTTTGCTTTTTGGGTCACACCCAGTGATACACAGGGGTTACTCCTGGTTCATGCACTCAGGAATTACTCCTCGCCGTGCTCAGGGACCATATGGGATGCTGGGAATCGAACTCGGGTGTGCAAGGCAAATGCCCTACCTGCTGTGCTATCACTCCAGCCCCCTGAGGGTGGAATATTCTGTCGGAATAACAGGTTAGGGAGGCTGGGCTCCACCTGCCGTGCTTAGGGACCATGCCTGGCTCTTTGCTCAGGAGCGACCCCTAGTGGGGTACCATATATGGTGCAAGGGGTTGAACTGGGGTCCACGCCTTCACCCCTGTAACAGTCTCTCTGACCTCACCATAGGGCTTCATGCCAGCAACCACCCAACACGGCACCCTCCACCCAAGTATCCGCTCCCCTCCCCACCGTCCCCGGGTCCCCTCCCAGCCACTCCGCCCTGACAAAGCTCAGCTCTGTACACCAGTGGTGCTCTGTCTCCGAAAACGTCTATGACAAAAACGCATGCATTGTGCCCCTGAGACACTGATTAATGAGTGTCTAAATAAAAAACACGTCCAGAAGTGTTCTCTAGAGCTGGAGTCATAGCACAGCGGGGAGGGCGCCTGCCTTGCCCGTGGCTGACCCGGGTTTAATTCCTGGCATCCGGTAGGGTCCCCCAAGCCCTCAGGAGTGAACCCTGAGCACAGGGCCAGGAGTCAGCCCAAGCACTGCTGGGTGTGATCCAACGTCCCCCATATTTTTCTCTAAAGAAAGAAAAAAGGCGAGACAAGGGTGGAGCTCAGTAGTGAAGGAGGGCAGGGTTTGGCTTCCTGGCCTGGGAAGGGACTAACACATCGGTAAGAGAAGGTGAGGAGAGGTGAGGACGCCTGTCAGGGCGGATGCAGGGACCAACATCCGCCCGGGCTGGGCCGGGCTCTGGGGCCGGTCAGCGGTGACCAGGAACCCAGCAGTGCAGTCACATCTCGGTTTCCTCATCTCGGGAGACTCGAACCCACCTTGCCTGAATCCTGTGGTCCAGATGAAGGTGAGGCGTGGTCGCCCACCCTGGTGCCCGGGACAGCACAGTCAGGACGCAGAGGATCTGGGGTCTGGGGAGGAGGGAGCCAGGCACCCCCGGGCAAGCCCACAGTGAAGGGCAGGTTTGCAGGCCCAGGAAGTGTCGCCCCAGTTCTCTGCGGCTGCAGCAGACAAAAGCTGGGGGCTGGGGGTGAGGCAGGAGGGGCGGCTGGGCTGTCCACTGGGAGGCTGAGATGGGGCGTGAGGGACCCCAGCCTCTCAGCCATGCAGGAGAAAACAGGGTCCTCATCCCCGCTACCCACATCCTCTCCCCCCCGCCCCCCAGCCCCACTCACCAATCTCACCCTCGTTGTTCAAGTCGAACTCCATGTACTTCTCTGCAAATCAGAGTAAGACAGTCAGGGGCCAGGGAGACTGGCTCTAGCGGCTCGGCACAGACTCGCATGCAGGAGATGGGGTTCAGCCCCCAGCACTGCCCGGTCCTTACCGGTCCCTATACCCAGGACAGAGCTGAGAGGAGCCCCAGGGCAACCAAGCACCACTGGGGGTGACCGCTGAGCACAGAACTGGGAGGGGTTACCGCAGAGTACTGCAGGGTGTGGCCCAAAGCCAGAGGAAGAGGCTTGAGCAGCAGGGAACCTTGGGGCCCACCTCCCCCCGGGTCCCAGCAACTTGGGGGACCCCTGGCCAGTCCCCTCTGGAAGTGGTGAGAGGCCCACTCCTACCAGCCAGTGTCCTGATCATCATGGACGGGCAACTCCTGCCTGCTCACACCCCTCCCCCACCTAGCCCAGCCTAGGGGTCCACTCTGACCCCAGGCCACGAGGGTGGCTGCCCTCCTGGTGCCCATGGTGGGGGCCAATTCCTGTCCTAGGAGGCTGGGATGGGAGGCATTTTGGGGGTGCTTCAATGGTCTCCCAATTTCTTTTCTTTTTGGGTCATACCCGGCGATGCACAGGGGTTACTCCTAGTAGCTCATGCACTCAGGAATTACTCCTGACGGTGCTCGGGGGACCATATGCAATGCTGGGAATCAAACCCGGGTTGACCGCTTGCAAGGCAAATGCCCTACCCACTGTTCTATCGCTCCAGCCCAGTCTCCCCAATTTCTGAAGGCAGTGGTGGATGGGCCCCCTCCTACAGGGGCCCCCTTGAGGGATCATGCCATGAACACCCAGTACCCAGCGGCCCCTGATCCTCCCTGACCAGGGGTGCAGGACACCTCCTGACAGTGGCAGGAAGGAAGGGGTGGGCATCTTCTGACCAAGGCAGAGGGCAGAGGGCAGGCCGTGCTCAAGTCACCCAGCCCACTGCTCAGAGCCAGGTATCCGCTCTGTACTGGCACCCATGGGAAAACACCAGGGAATTGGTCCAGGCACCAGCCCTGCTCCATACCTGTGGCCTGGCAGCGCCTGCCCAGCTCACAGTGACCCCACCCGCAGGTGCCCACATCCCTCACGCCTCCCTGCTGGTGCCCGCACCCACCTCGGATCTACTTCTCAGCCTCTCACCCACCCTGTCAGTTCTTCTGGGTGGGGGGTCCCCAATTCAACCCTGTTGCCACAGGCTGGGGCAGGGGGCAGAACCTGCACTGAGCTGAGGTGGGAAGGGCTTAGACAGCAGCGCCCACTCCAAGGAAATCGTGGTTCCTTCCCCAGGGCCAGTGGACAAGGGTAGTGAGCCCTGGGCTGAGGCCACTGACCACCACAGAGCAGGGGACAGAGCTGGGGGGGCGGGCAGGAACAGGGTGTCTTTGCTGCGATTAGTGTCATAGTTAAGAGCACAAGTTTGCTTCTTGGCTTTTTCCTGTTGCTGTTTTTGGGTCACACTTGGCAGGACTCAGGGGCTCCTCCCAGCTCTGTGCTCAGGGATCACCGCTGGCGGGGCTCAGGAGACCTTGTGGGGTGCCGGGAATCGAACCTGCATCATCAGTTAAGTCCGGGCAAGCGCCTTAACTCAGGACTGTCTCTCGGCCCCAGGGTGGAGGTTTGGGTCCCTTTGGGCTCTGTCCAGCGAGTTGCTGACCCCTGTCTCTCTCTGCGTCTGCTTTCCTGCAGCTGGAAACGCAAGCGCTCGGAGACCTCCTCTGGCCAGGCCCAACTCGGGGTGCTCTGCTGTATGTACTGTGAGGGAACATTGCCTCCACTTTGGGGAGCTCCAGTACAAGCAGGCGCCCCACAAGGAGCAGCACTCGGCCTCCCGCAGCACTGGTGGGGGGCGCCTGGTGGGCAGAGGTAGTCCTCCCGCCAGGGTGGGGTGTGGCATGCCCGGCCCGCCTGGCCCTGCCTGCGTGCACGGCCCAGTCCTTTCAGGATGCTGGCCGCGAGCCCAAGCGAACAGAGGGGCCTTGTGCAGCTGCCCCGCGCGGCTCCTGGCCGTTTGCTTTTCATCCTGTGCTGCGGCTTCAATGGGCAGAAACTCTGCCCCTGGCCCACTGCTGCTGCACACACAAACATCTATTCTCCGCAGGGGCCCCCGAGACGCCCTGCAGCCCGGGGAGAGCGGTCAGGGCCGCTACAAAGAGACAATTGTGCGCTGGGCCCAGGAGCCGCCAGGAGCCAAGCTGGGCTCCGCAGGGCAGCCGCGGGCCAGAGGGTCAGGCGCAGGCTGGGGCCTGCAGGCCGGGGTGCGAGAAGCAGGTGCAGGGTCCGCAGCCCCTGGCTGACTCCCCTTTGCACTGCAGGTTCCGAGGCTGATGCCACCCGAGGGGCATGAGGGGGCCGAGCTGGCCAACCCTAGTTCACTTATATTTTGTTTTTGGGTTTGGGGACACACAGTGATGTTCAGAGCTCCTGGCTCTGCACTCAGGGATCACTCCTGGTGTTGCTCAGGGGACCCTATGGGATTCCGGGGATGGAACCCAGGTCGGCCGTCTGCCAGGCAAACACCCTCCCCGCCACACGACGGTTCTGTCCCCTCCAGCTCACCTTTGTTTTTTTTTTTTATTAGTGAAACACCATGAGGTACAATTATAGACTTATAAATTTTTGTGCTTGGGTTTCAGTTATACAATGATCAAGTACCCATCCCTCCACCACCACGGGTCCCAGCATCCCTCCCACCCCCCCGTCCCCCCCCCCCGTCCCCCCCTGGCAGGGCATTCCCCCTTGTTCTCTTTCTCTTCTTTTGGGTACTGTGTTTTGCAAGAGAGGCCTTGAGTGGCAATCATGTTTGGTCTACAGACTACTTTTAGCATGCTTCTCCCACCCTGGGAGGGTCCTCACAACACCCTTTATTTGGTGCTCTCTTCTCTATCTGAGCTTCCTTTTCACCTAGCACGTGTGGCTGGCCTTCAAGTCATGGAGCAAAATTCCTGGTACTAATCTCAGTCATTCCTGGGTATTAGTCTCCCTTTTTGTTTCCAGCTCACCTTTGAAGGCCTCAAGCTTCTCTGAGAGGTCTTCCTCATCGCTGTACTTCTGGTCACAGAGAAACTCCTAGAGGCAAGAGAGACTCAGGCTGGGCCGGCTCCGAGGGGGCAGGCAGGACTCGGGACAGCAGGACTCCCCTCCAGCTGGAGGCCAGGTGAGGCGGATCCCCCCGGCCCCTGACAACCTCGGACAGAGCCCAGCTGGGGGGAGAAGCTCAGAGCAGCTGCCAACCTCTGCAGCCGGCCTCTAGCTCCTGAGCCCCGACCCCCACCAAGCCAGCCCCACCCCAGCTGTGGGATCCACGAAGCCAGAGCCCCAAGACCGACCACTGGTCCCAGCGCTCACTTCCGAGGTGCATGAGCAAACACATCCCTCATAGCTGCGTTCCTCTCTCATCTGCCAACCCTGCTCCTCTTCGTGTCAAAGGGGCTACGGGGGGGGGGGGGGGGGCTGGATGCAATAAACAGCGGGGGGGGCACACCAGCTTGGTGCTCACAGCTTATCCTGTCTCTGTGCTCAGGGATCACTCCTGCCAGCACGCGAGGGTCTATTATGGTGCCAGGGATTGAACCAGGGTCACAGAGTGCCAGGCGGGTGTCGTGGCCCCTGTCCAGTCTCTCTGGCCCAGCTGTCATATTGCTAGCCACAAGCCCACACAGAGCAGCCCCAAGAGCGGAGGGAGAGCCCAGAGCCCAGTCCTGAGCGCCGAGGAGTGTGTGGCATGTCTGCTCACGCCGCAGTCCCCGGATGTTCCTCTCCCCACAGCCTGTTTGCAGTCCACTTTCCCCTCGGGGTCCCTGCCCTGACACGCACACGCCAAGCGACTGCCTCGTCCCCTGGCAACTTCCTGTGCACCCTCCCGTGTCCAGCGTGCTCCCGCCCGGGCCCCTGGGACCCTCCCAACTCCTCGAGGCAGCCGTCCCCCCACCCCCAGCTCCTCATCTCTGCTCCCACACCTCCTTCACCCCACGGGACAATCCCTCCAAACACCACAGGCCTTGCGTGTGGCGGTGCCAGGGATCGAACCTCTCACACGAGGCCTGTGCTTGACGGTCGAGCCCGCCACTGGCCCCAAGCCACTTCAAGCCCCTGGCCCCTGCCGGTCTCCCCAGCTAGAAGGGGGGTTCTACAGAGTAGTCGCCCGACAAATAGCTGCAGGAAGAGAGCGAGCGAGACTCAGGAGGATGACTCGCTCGCTCCGAGTGGCCCAGCCAGTGAACGGCCAGCCAGGGGCCAAGTCCTCCACATAGGGCTGGGGTCCAGCGCACAGAGCTTGGAGGAGGAATGACTGTGGCCAGCAGGTGCTGGAAGGAAGCAGCGCTTTAGCTCAGGACTCTCCGAGGCGCTCTGCAAGCCTGGCCTCCCTGACCTGGTCAAGCAGCTGTGTAAAATTAAGTGCACCAGGGGCTGGAGCAATAGCACAGCAGCAATCGATTCCTGGTTCGATTCCCAGCATCCCATATGGTCCCCTGAGCACCGCCAGGGGTAATTCCTGAGTACAGAGCGAGGAGTAACCCCTGATCATTACCAGGTGTGACCCAAAGAGAAAAAAAAAATTAAGTGCACGACAGGGGCCAGAGAGATAGCACAATGGGTAGGGCTCTTGCTCCGCGTGCAGCTGACTGGGGTATGATCTCCACCACCCCTGAACACAGAGTCTGAGTAAGCTCTGAGCACCACCAGGAGCGCCCCCTGCATAAAAACAAAATTGAATGCATGGCGGAAGGGAGGGGACCCGGGGGACTCACAGGTGTTTCCAGTGCCCAAGTGACACATGCCCGAGCCACAGGGTGACCAAGCGGGAGAAGCAGCTGACCAGTTCCGGCGTGGGCAGGCAGCTGTGTGGACGTTGCACCGGGCACGGTGCCAGGGGAGCCAGGCCGGCTGGTGCGGGCACGGCAGTTCCTGGGCTGGCATGCCGGCCCCCACCTCCGCCCTCTGCATTCTTGGTTCCTGCTCATGCACAGCCCGACGCTGCCCCCCTCCCTCCGCCCCGCTCTCCTCTCCACACCCCTGCCCAGCTTCAGGGCACTGCTGAGGCCCACAGGCTCTTCCCTGGGCACGGCACCCCCAGGGCCACCCACTGCCCTGCTTTGGTCCCCAGGCAGAAGAGATGGAGGCGTCACTCCAGATGTTTAGGAGAAAAAAGCAACAAGAAATGGGGCTGGAGCGATAGGACAGCAGGTAGGGTAATTGCCTTGCATGTGGCCAACCCGGTTCGATCCCCAGCACCCAATGAGGTCCCCTGAGCACTGCCAGGAGCTATCCCTGGGTGCAGAGCAGGCCTGGTGTGGCCCCAAAAATAAAAAAAAAAAAGATAAAAAGAAGCATGTTGGAAACTACAAGCTCGGGTTGCCTCCACTTATGGGTGTGAAAATCACTGTCTGGGTGCCTCAGTTTCCTTGTCTGTAAGAAAAGGATTATCTTCAACCAACCCCACAGACTTCTCATGAGAACTGCAGAATGAAAGGGCAGAGGAGGGCTGGCACAAGGCCCGGAGCACACTCAGCACCCCGGGTTCCATCCGTGGGACTCCAGATGTGGCCCATGATTCAAAGCAGAAGTAGGGGGCTGGAGCGATAGCACAGCAGGGAGGACACTTGCCTTGTACGTGCCCAACCTGGGTTCAACCCCCAGCATCTCCTATGGTCCCCCAAACCCTGCCAGCAGTGATCCCTGAGCACAGAGCTAGGATTAATCCCTGAGCACTGCCATGAGTGGCCTGCAAACAACAAAAAAAAATTTTTTTAAATATTTTTGATTTTTTGGGGGGTCACACGCAGTGACTCTCAGGCGTTACTCCTGCCTCTGCACTCAGAAATTACCCCTGGCGGTGTTCAGGGGACCAGATGGGATGCTGGGGATCGAATCCAGGTGGGGTGCGTGCAAAGCAAGAGCCCTTACCCACTGTGCTCTCTCTCCAGCCCCCCCAAATTAAAAAAAAAATTTAATAGAAATAAGTAAGTACATGTAATGTGCTTGGCCCTTAGAAATACGTGGCATGAGGTTGTTTTTTTTTTTTTCATTTCTTTTTTGTATTTAGGCAACACCTGACGATGCTCAGGACTTATTCCTTAGCCAATCTGGGTTGGCTGCCTGCACGGCAGATGCCCTCCCCATGGTGTCTGACCAAGATACTTCTTCTATCCATCAATAACTTCCTATTCCTAGGCCCATCATCCTCAGGAAAACAGGCCACAGAGTCCGGTGTCCAGGCTGAGGCTGGTTATTATTCCCTCCCTGTCCTCCCATATTACCGTGACTGTGTCCCCATTCAAGAAATGGGACAACTAGGACTCCCGGGGTCACTCTGCTTGTTTCTGGGGGGTGGGGGATGGGAATGGGGAGTGGTCACTGCCACTAGTTCTCTCAGGCCAATCCACTGTCCCAAAAGATTAAACCTTGGGACCAGAGTTCACGAGGAGGGTGTTTGCCTTGCATGGGCTTGACCCAGGCTCGATCCCGACATCCCATATGATCCCATAAGTACCGCCAGGAGGGATTCCTTGAGTGCAGAGCCAGGAGGAACCCTCAAGCATTTCCGGGTGTGGCCCTCAAACAAACAAACAAACAAATTAAGTTTTGCAGCTACAGGAACTGATGCTGGACCCCCAGGGAAGGGGGTGGTGGGGACAGACATGCAGGGGTCTGGATTGGATAGCTCGGGCAGTCCCCAGAGGAGAGCTGGGGCTGCAGGAGAGTCCCTGGGGCCAGCAGTCCCTCCAAGGGTCTCAGTGACCACAGACCCGCAAACAGGGTCCAGCTGTGAATCACGCTCCCAGTCACGGGCCAGAGGGGCCCCGCCAGGCCACCAGCTGTCCTCTCGGTACAACAGCAGGCAGGGTAATGATCTTGCACGTGACTGACCCAGGTTCGATCCCTGGGCTGCACAAGGTCCCCGAGCTGGCCAGGAGTGATTCCAGAAGGCAGGAGTAAGCCCCTGGGTGGGGTGTGCCCCTAGATAAGAGAAAAAGAGCTGAGGATGCAGAAGGGTGAGGGCGTGGGTGGGGAGACAGCTCAGCACCCAGCACCAAGCCAGGGGTGGTCCTAAAACAAAGCAATCAAGAAAGCCAAAGGGGTGGGCCAGAGAGACAGTCCAGGGGTTAAGGCGTTGACCTTGTTGCCTGCTGAGCCCAGCTCAAATCCCTGAGCACTGCCGGGATGGCCCCAAAACAAACAAACAAAACCTTAAGGGAAAGGCCTTAGCAAAATCCACAATGATCAGGGACTTGAGATAAGCCGAGCTTGCCAGGAGTGAGCCCTGAGCCGCCCAAAGTCAGGAGTGAGCCCCGAGCACAGAGCCAAGAGTCAGCCCTAAGCAGAGCCAGGAGTGAGCCCTGAGTACAGAGCTGGGAGTCAGCCCTGAGCAGAGTCAGGAGTGAGCCCTGAACACAGAGCCAGGACTGAGACCTGAGCACAGAGCCCGGAGTGAGCCCTGAACACAGAGCCAGGAGTGAGCCCTGAGTACAGAGCTGGGAGTCAGCCCTGAGCAGAGTCAGAAGTCAGCCCTGAACACAGAGCCAGGAGTGAGCCCTGAGTACAGAGCTGGGAGTCAGCCCTGAGCAGAGTCAGAAGTCAGCCCTGAACACAGAGCCAGGACTGAGACCTGAGCACAGAGCCAAGAGTCAGCCCTAAGTAGAGCCCAGAGTGAGCCCTGAGCACAGAGCCAGGAGTGACCCTGAGTCCAGAGCCGGGAGTCAGCCCTAAGCACAGAGTCAGGAGTGAACCCTGAACACAGAGCCGTGGGTGAGCCCTGAGCATGGAGCCAGGAGTGAGCCCTGAACACAGAGCCAGGTGTTACTCCTGAGCATAGAGCCAGGTGTGACCCCTGAGCACAGAGCCAGGAGTAACCTCTGAGCACCTCAGGTAGCACTGTACTGTATCACTGTTCTCCCGTTGTTCATCGATTTGCTCCAGTAGGCCCAGTAACATCTCCATTGTGAGACTTGTTGTTACTGTGTTTGGCATATCGAGTAAGTCATGGGTAGCTTGCCAGACTTTGCCGTGCGGGCCAGATATTCTTGGTAGCTTGCCGGGTTCTCCGAGAGGGGCGGAGGAATCGAACC